TCAGGTACACCTAATTTATCAAAAAGAAGTTCTAATTTAGATTTAGATTCTAAATATTTTTTAATTTTTTCTAATCCTAAATGTTCTTATAAAATTTATTATAATCTAAATTAAATTTAATAAAAAATATTTACTTAGCTACTTCATTTTATAAATTTAAATAATTCATTTTTTCAATAACAATTTAATCTAATTTTTATAATATTTCTTCTGATTTTTAAGGATCATATTCTTTTTCTTTATAATTTACACTTTTTATTTTTCCTAACAAATTCTTTTTTATTTTAAAATCAATAAAATCATTATAATACATTTAAATAACTTCTTTTTATGTTTTTTATAAACAAATATTTTCATTATATTTTGATACAATAAATGATATTGAAAGTATCCAAGATATTATTGAACCTGTATCTGCTAATATTTCTGATATTTTTGGATATTCAACCATATTTACTATTTTTATTTAATCTAAATTAAAATATAAAATTGAAAATAATTCCTCACCAAATACTTTTTAAGAGTATTCCCAATCTAAATTTTATATTAAAGCTGTTAAATCAGATAGATAAGATAGTTTTTACGATTTTGATAATAAAAATCCATCATCTAGAATCAATTCTCCTGACTGCAAAAAAAATTAATTGAAAAATAATCTTCCTTTTTATATATCGAGTACAAAAGATTTGGGAACTTTTTTGAATTGCTTTGCTTTTGGGTCAAATTATTCAATAAATATTTATACCTGAATGAAGTTCTCCTGTTTTAGAAATTTTTAAATTGTATCTTGATCAGCACACTTTTGTCCATCAACTAATCTTTCTTCTTTGCAAAATCCAAATGATAATGAATAATCTTAAGCATTTATAAAAGAAGATGTTGGTGGTGATCTTGAGATAGTTATATCTTCAATGTAAAATTTATTAACAATTTTTCCATTTTCTTATTTTTCTTATTCATGTCTTAGAGATAAGTTTTATATCTAAAAATATTAGTAAAAGTACATTTTAAAAATTGCTTGGTATTATTTGAAAAATAGGATTAAAAATTAGATTGTTTGGATCGAAAGGATCTATTGAATTATTAATTTTTTAAAAGTAACATACATCAACAAACAGACCTTTCAAAAAAATAGTTTAGTTAACTTCAATCTGTTATTTTAGAGAAGTAATCTTAGGGAGCTTATTATTTTATTGCCAATCAACAAATTCTAGAAGAAAATATGCTAAACTAATTCCATATAATGTTAGGGTTAATAATCCACCCATAGCACTTTTTTATGTTGGATTGATTGGTGATATTTGAAGCTTATACTCAAAACCAAATTGATCGATTGATTATAAGAAGTATTACATTATTTTTAATTTGTATATAAATTTGGATTTCAATAAATTTATACGAAGCTATTTTGATACAAATAATGGTTTTGAAATTTTTAGAATAAGAAAAATATTGAGTCTTGATTAATTTGTAAGTATCAGATTGATATATTTAAAAAGAAAGAAATTTATGTTTTTAGATTAAGTTGGAATATTCTAAAAATAAAAAATGTAAACAATCTAAAATAAATTAAATGTGGAAAATTATTATTGATTTTATTTCTTTAAGATATATTAGTATTTCATATTGAATATAACTACAGAAAACAGTTTGTTTATTTTATAGGTATTAGAATATAACTTGGAAGAATTTATATTTATATTTATTTTTATTGTATATATTGATCATAATCATGCTAGTGGTTTAGCTGATTGAACCAATAATTGTTTTAGTTAGTTGACATAGGTACTATTTAACAAAGCAACATCTACTATGACTGCACTGACTAAATATGGATCAATATTGGCAGCAGGTCTTCTATCTTCCAAATATCTATGAAAATAACGATATTAATTACCCTGCCCCTAATTCTTTGGTTATAACTGGAACTCTGATGGATCCACCTCTTGAACCATCACCCCAGGAGAATTAGTCATAGGAACTTGTTTCATGATTACCTGTTAATCTTTTTTCATTATTGGCTCCATATAATTTTAAAACTTCTTTATGTGTATTACTTAATAAAGGCATTAATTCATTGACAATATATTTATACCCACCTTCCCCTCTTGTTTTAATATCAGAATAGTTTGTATGGGCTCCAGAACCATTCCAATCTCCCAAGATGGGTTTAGGATCATAATTTATATCAATACCGAATTCTTCACCTAATCTTTCTAGAATATATCTAGCTAACCATAAGTGATCTCCAATTTCAATTCCTTCAGCAATACCAATTTAGAATTCCCATTAAGATGGTGCAACTTCTGCATTTACTCCAGCAATTTTGATTCCTGCATTCAAACAAGCTCTTAGATGTGCTTCGGCTAAAGCACGTCCAAAGTTGTTTCTTTCTCCTATTGAACAATAATATCGTCCTTAAGGATAAGGAAATCCTCCTGTTGGCCATCCAAGAGGCCAAATGTGTGTTGTTCCTGTACGTTTCAATAAGAAATATTCTTATTCAATTCCAAACCATGGCTTGAAATCTTTGGCTTTTTCCATTATTTCATTAGCAATCCATCTATAATTATAGATTATAATTATTACCTAAAATTATATCTTGCTGGAGTCTTTTTATCTGGTAAATATGTTTCACACAACACCAATATGTGAGGATCACCTCTAAAGGGATCTTTCACAAATACAACAGGTTTCAAATAAATTTCTGACCATTTTGTATTAGCTTATTCTGTTGATGAGCCATCATATGTCCACCATTCAAGATCAGATATTTAAGTTATAGGTGTTGGATATACCTATATTATTATTATAAATAGTACTTTTGTTTTAGATCTCATTCTCTCTCCAGTTCCATCAATCCAAATATATTCAGCCAAGACTTGAGTAACATTCGAATTTAGTTTATAATAATTAAAATCACGAAGATGTTCAACAGTCTCGGTCATAAGAGTATCTAAAAATTTATTCAATTATTCTAAACTAAAACGTGTATACAATTTCAAATTTAACTGGTTTTATAATTGGTCACAAAATAATAATCATATTAAATTGATATCTAATATTGATTATTATTATATAATTTATTAAACAAGATTTTGTTTTTTAATATTTATATAGGAATAATTCATTATTAAATCAGAATATCAGTAATTTGCATTTTTCAAAAAAGACTCTCTTTCAATATCCATTATTTTTTGAAATTTATTAAGAATATTTATATCATACTCAAGCTTGTTTTTTTGCTCATTCTTTTATAACAATTTAATAAGTCATATGTTAATTTTTGAGAAAATTAATTATATAAAATGATTTATAGAAAACTTAATTGTCTTAATTATTGTTCTACAATTTAAAGCCTATATGAAACATAATTATTGTTAATATTAATTTTAATATATTTTCATTAGCCTTTTTATTTTGTTTATTTTGCACTCAACTTATTTTCATTATTTTTATCATGCATGTATAAGGTTATATTACATAATGTACCGAAGATAGTTACAACTCGAATAAATTACATCATATAAACATAAGAATATTATGTTTCATCCTAAATAATATATCCAACAATTAGAGGTAAAATAGAGAGTCCAATATTCTGGATTGATGTTACAACTCCAAATCCAGTTCCTTATGCATTTGCATTAATACATAAGGGAATACAAGGCCAAATAACAGGAGCAAATATAGCAAAGGATAGACCACTGATTGTTTAGGCTAATAATGTTAAATTATGGCAATTATCATTTATACAATTAATTTCTACACAATATAAAGATGTAGATATTAGGAGTAAAATACCTGAAATCAATATAATTAATGGTCTTTATCCAATTTTATCAACAAAACCACCAAATATAGGAGTAATTATAGCACTTATATAGTATGGTAAACTGTAAAAAAAGGTAGCCTCTTAATCTTTTAATTAATATCTATTTAAATACAATATTAAGTAATACCTAATCTTAAACATTTGTAAACTATTTTATTATAAAACAATGAAAGCACTATATGACAATACACAAGTTAAAGATACAAGATAAAAATCTAATTTAAATTGTTTAATATCAGCTAGACTAACATTAGATTATTCTTCATCCTTTTTAATTTATCCATCTCTAAAATCACTAATTTTATCCATTTCAATTTGAATAAATGAAACTCCCCAAACAATTAAAATGATGAAGCAACAAATCATCATACAAGATTGAAAACTTTCGTTAAATTGTACATATGTGTATCTTAGTAAATTTACACCTAAAACTGATCCCAATCTTGTAAATGTTAATTTTAATCTAATAAATATGATTTATATTTCAATTATTATTACCCAAATGCTAAGGCCATTTCTTATCCAACAAACCATTTGCTTACAATGGAACTTTAAGCTACACTCATACAAATTTCTCCTCCCATTCCCATAAGCATCATACCTATTTTCAGATAATTATAGTTCAGTATTAATGATCCATAATAACATAGAGCTAGAAATATATTGAAATAAAATTATACATTATCCAATCACTAGAAAGGCTGTAAATGAAACTAAAGAAGATCTTATTCCAATTTTATCTATTATGATACCTCCAAAAAATGGAAATATTACATTTGGTAAGGAATAGAATGTAAATAGTTGATTTATATCAGATTATTGAATAGAGAATTACAATTTCATTTGGGAAGCCAAAACTGATGGAAAATCACTACATAAACAACATCCAACTTAAAAAATGCATGTCATTGCCAAAAATAACCATCTTAATGATGTTTAATGCCAAGAAACTTATTTTTTATCCATTTTAATTTATATTAATACTATAAAAAATAGAACAAATAATAAATTCTAAACAATTCACTAAAAATATTGTATTAGCATATTAATATTATTGTATAGGGAGGAATTAGAAAATTTAATGATAATTTTAAAGATAGAATTATTTTCTATTAATTTTTAATTAATTATATTAAATATAATTATTATAACGGATTGAAAAGAAGTAAATGAAAAGTGTTCTTAAGTAAATAACAATATCCATTAAAAAGTTAATCAAAATAGTCTTTAATGTTGCATGTAGCAAACAGTATAATAAAAAATACAAAAAATGATTTCACAGTAAAAGATTGCGATGTACCAACAATAAATAAGATTCCAGTTTCAAAGCGTATTCAGACAAAACCGAAGGAAAATGCTGTAAGTGAATACAATGTAATCACAAGATGTGTAACTGAATAAAGAAAAAGCTCTGGTATACTTATTGTTTGATTAGTCACGGAAACTAGTATTAATGAATAAAAGGAATAGAAAAGGATTCCATCTTATTGTATGAAATGGTTAAATTATAAATATTAGAAGAAAGTATAATAATTCATGAAAATAGGAATTTGTGCAACTAGAGTAGCAATTTTAAAAAATACTATAAATATAACCTGAGAAGAATATAGTTCATCAAATTGAAAGAGATTTGTCAAGAACAATTAAGGCAGAGAATCATTTTACAGAAATTAGAAATATTCTAACTGCATATTCAGTTTATGATCCAAATATAGGATATATTTAGGGGATGAATTACATAGCATCAATTTTATTTAATCATGCTAAATAAGAGTGGATAGCATTTTGGTTATTTGTAAATTTGATAGAATAGATGGAAATAAGAGATATTTTTTAATTGTCATTAAATGCAATAAACAAATACTCTAAAATTTTGGATTTTCTTTTGAATAAGTATTTACCAAAAGCTTATGATAATTTATGTTTAAAATAAGTGAACACTGAATTATATATTTAATAATGGATTTTAAGTTTGCTTTTGTAATTTATTCCTTTTGATTATACTTAAATGTATTTGGATGGATTATTTAAATAAGGGATATCATATTTTTATATGATAGCATTAACAATAATAAAAGTATTTGAAAAGGCAATAGAAGAAGAAGATTAAATAGAAATTTTAATTTTGTTAACATAAAAACAATATGTAATTAAATACGTTAATTAATTTAGAGTTAATTGAAATGGCCATCAATTTTAGCATTGTAATGGGACATAAATCCAGGTGAATTGAGAGTGTTATTAGATTGTTTTGACAGTGAGACAAATACTTTTCATAGGCCAAAATTTTAAACACATTGTTCATAATTGACAACAAACTTCTTTGAATTTATAAAAAATAATTGAATTCTATGTAATATAAGATTTATAAATTTTATTTAATGGTTTCTAATATTTTAATACTAAAAAATTGCAACAGAATTGTTATAAGATAATTATGAATTTAATGCACCGCCAAAGGGTTGTTTAGAAATAAAAATATAGAGAAGATATAAGTGAAGCATGTAGGAAAAAAGAGAGTTGAAAAATATCTAGAAGATGAAGTAACTGAAGAAGAGATAATTAATCCTAAAAATCTTGATGAAGCTGTTGTAAGTATCTTTATTTTATGACTCAAGAATGAAGAACTTTAAACAGCTGTTATTCATAATGTGGCAGAATTCTAATTTAGATTTTTATTAGTTTAATAAATTGGAAATTAAGATATTCCCTGGTAGTTTAACTTTACAGATATTTGTCAACAACTTGAAACTCAAATTATTGAAACTATTAATCCTTAATTACCTTAATTAGAAGTTTATTAATATTGATTACCAAAATATATTTAATAACCTTTTATTGATTTTTGAATTCTAAAATTTACTTTTTGTAATAATAATACAATCTATTTTTTAAAATTATATTATTAATGATACAAAAAGTTTAGATAATTATTGGCTTATTTTATAGAATAAATTGGTCAGAAATTATACAATATATATAACATTAAATTTAGGGCTTCTTATCCTATTCTTAAAATTTGTAAATCTCCACGATTAGGTTTGTTGTTTATCTACTGTAATTATGTATTTATAAGGTTTTTATATAAAGATATAATAAAATCAACTATAACCCTAATTATCATTAAATCCATAATATAAGTTTATTAGGCTTGATTTACATTGTACTAATTACAAACTTCAAGGAAAGAATAATTTGATTTTAATTTGTATAATGAATGAGATTTCAAATATTTATAATTATTATTATCATACAATTTTTATGTATACTTTTCTATAATCAAATTTATTTATGATAATTCTAAAATATTCTCCTGCAAATGAATATCTCCTAGTTTATTATTAATTAAAATGTTAAGTTGACTTTATTGAGGTTTTACTTCCATTTACCGTTTATGACTATTGTATTATTTTTTATTCCTACTCACAGATTTAAACAGGCTAAGTTTCGACTTATATTTCTTTTATATACTAATATTAATTAGACTCTTTTATCCTTAATTTATTTGTGATTTATTCTACAAAAATTGGACTATGTTTTAGCAAAAAGATTAGAATTTCATTGGTTGAGTTAATTGATAATTCATATTCTAGTTAGTCATTTAAATTCATATGATAATATTAATTTCATAATCAACTATTTATTCTTCATTATTGATCAGAATTGAAGTTTTAGTTTAATTTTAATTAACTGACTAAATTTAGTATTTAGTTGATTTTATTTTATCTAATTATGGAGCAAACTCTTATAATTGAGAAGAAATATAATTTTTAAGTTAATGTGTTTGTTTTTATTTTTAGAAATTTAGATTCTGCCAAGGACTTATTATCTAAAAAATAATTGAGATATTGCATTCTTGGAGTATTTTAGAGATATTAAATTAATTATGATTTGGAGTGTTATTTCTATTATAAATTGCTATTATGATTGGAACTGAATTTTTGATGTTAGTGGAGATAAATAATTCAATAAGACTCTGGAACTGAAAGACATGTGATTATGGTTATGTTTAAAAGTTTTTTGTTCTTGAAAACCATTTTAATTCTAAAGTTTTTAGATAGATTTAATTTATTATTTGCATCTTTTTTGAAATCTAAAGAAGAAATACCAAAAACCAATTTATTGTCAGTAATGAAATTTTGAAATATTGTATATTTACATGTAATAATACTTCACATAAACTCAACTAAAGATTTAGATAAATAAATTAATTAAGTTTCAATTCTAGCTGCAACAGTGAGAAGAGTGATGTGACATAATTCATCAGCTGTTAGTTAAAGTTTAATTTACTCTATATGAGTTTTTTATATAACATTTGGTGTCCAAATAAGTAATTTTATGAATTATTTCAATTACTGTGGAAGTAATTTCTCCATCTTTCATAATAAAATATGTTATTTATTAATACCTATGCCCAATAATCTATATCTTCATGTTAATATCTGAATTATCCTTCTCCATAATAACGTATGGCTTTTCTGAAGGCTGCAGTAGCTACCTCTTCATTTCCAAAAGAGTTTCTTGTCATTTGTTTAACTTCTTATAATAAATTATTGATAGCATCAGCACCTTCTAAAAATGCTTCTTTTAAAATAGGATAACTATTTAATTAAAAAGAATATTCCTAATAATTTGAAAACTGTTTACTGAAGATCTCAAGACACTTTTGCTTTCACAGTAAGATAATTCTGAATTAGAAAAATGTTTAGAAAATTTTTCATCAAAATGCAATTTTAATTATTAATCAGTTTCTTCAACATAAAAGCTGTAAGATTAAGAAGTTTTTTATCTAATTTAAATTTCCATTTAAACATCTTCAGAAGGAAGTTCTTCATCAAGAAAAGCTGATTACTTAAGTTCTTAGAGTATCGATTCATTCTGAATAAAATCAATAAAAGATTCATGTTAAGAATATTACAAACTATTATTAACAGAGCTATTATCTATTATAGTATCTATTTCCTTAAGAATACCATTCCCTAATGAAAAGCTTCCCAAATTATTATAGAATATAAATATCATCAATGATTGTATTAATTCTTTCCTTTTCCACTTACCTTTGAGTAGTTTATGCAATTCTTAAGATAATTGAGGATCCCATGGTTTAGTAATCAACAGTTTACATAAAGGATCTAATTATTTAATATGTTCATCAACACAATCATAACCTATTTCTATCCAATTCTTTTATCCCTCATTTAAATAGAATATTTAGGAAAGTAATAAATATAATTAATCACATCCTGAGGCAGCTGCTCCCTAATAAATTTAGAATTAAATTAAATTACCATGATAGCCAAATAATATTTTTCATCTTACAATAGTTTAGTCTTAGTATTAAACAAATTATCTACTAATAATGTATATGATTTCAATAATTTTGGAAACCACAGTAAAGGAAATTCATGCAATCCTACTCTCCCATAATTAAAATTAAATATCTTTAACAAATGATCTTATAATTCTTCTGCTTTTAGAGTTCCAATAACTGGCCAAGGCAATTAAGCATTTTTACCATCAATAAAATCATTTGCCTCCTTTAAAGAAGGAAATTGATTCAGAAACTTAGACACTTTGTGAATTTTAGGCTACTTTTGTAGATTATTAATACAGATAGTTTATATTCGATTGCTAAATCTTCATATAAACTAACAACTGATGAAACAGGAGTTTGATTGATTACTACCGCTAATTTGGCTTCAACTAAATTTTGGATTGATTAATCTTAACATTCTTATAACTTTTAGAATTGTTATATGCATTAATCAAGTAATTACTCATCTTCATCTTTATTAGTCAAATATTCAGGAAATGCAAGACGTAAATTTTCATTTTCTTAATCCATTTATCTATATATATATTCTTTATTTATTTTGTACAATAAACTCATTATTATTCATTTTCAATCAATGCAGCAGCACCCATACCAGTAGCAATACACATTGAAATGACACCATATTTAGCCTTCTTTCTCTTCATTTCTGGTAATAAAGTGGCTACTTATCTAGCACCAGTACATCCTAAGTTTATAAATAATTTATTTACCTAATGGATGTCCTAAAGCAATAGCACCTCCTTTTGGATTTACTCTAGTTGGATCAATTCCAACCTTTTATACACTATAAACAGATTGACTGGCAAAAGCTTCATTAATTTCATATATGCAGATGTCATTTGGTTTCAACGAATTTTTTTATAATAATTATGGAATAGCAGCAGCTGGTCCAATACCCATGATGTTGGGTGGTACACCAGCAACAGTGTAATCAATAAATCTAGCTAAGATTGGTAAACCCAATTTTTAAGCATAAGATCTTCTAGCTAAAAGAACAGCAGCAGCACCATCAGTTACTTAAGAAGAATTACCAGCTGTTGTTGATCCTTCCTTTCCAAAAGCAGGCTTTAATTTACCTAATCCTTCAAGAGTAGTCTCCTTTCTAATTCCATCATCTTCTGTAACAAGAACCTCTTTAGTTTTTTCACCATCTTTAATAAAGGTTTTGACAGGGATAATTTCATCTTTGAATAATCCTTCTTATTGTGCTTTATATGCCTTTTATTAGGATTCATAAGCAAATTAATCTTATTATAATCTTGTGACTCCAAATTGAGCTGCAACATTCTCAGATGTTTATCCCATACCCAATAAGCAATCTCTTGCACATGGATGATCAAAGATTGCATCACTTAGTAATTCAGCATTCATTTAGCTCTACATATCATACATAGTCATTTATTCAACACCAGCTCCAATACCAATATCCAACATTCCAGATCTAATTTTGGCAGCTATTACAGCACAAGCTTCTATTCCTGATGAACAGAATCTATTAATTGCTGTTAAACATGTTGTATCTGGGAATCCAGATAAAAAGGCAGCCATTTTAGAAACTATGGCACCACTTCCTGGTTGATTAACATTACCAACTACAATGTCTTAGATCAATTTTGGATCAACTTTTGTTCTTTATAAAAGACCTGTAAAGGCAGTACTAAGAAGAATTTCAGGAGGAGTATCTCTCAATAATCCTCTCTTGGCTTTTGTTAATGGAGTTCTAACAGCACCACAAATGACAACATCATTATCACATCTTGCTGGAACAGGTGTACAATTGTTAACCTAAGCACTGATATGTTGGACTCTTTGCATTAATAAGATATTTTATTTAATTAAATTGCAAATAATTGTTTTTGTATTTGGATAAATCTCTATTCCTAAAATTAGAATTCATGGAATGTTAATTGGAACATATACAAATGGGAAGAAATCCTCGGTATCTTCTAATTCCTCTTTTGTTCCATATAACCCTACTTGAGATGGATCGGCATATAATTTCAAAAGGGATTATTATACTTTTTTCTCTTTTCCTTAATCTGGCTATAAATGTTTACTAATTAAAAAATACTTTTATTATGCATTATATATTAGGTTCAGCTGCTCCAAATCTCATAGCAATATCTACAACCAATCTAAGTACTTTTAAATGCATATAGGTAATGTATAAGTCACTAAATGCTTTTTCGCATGCTTATTTTAATGTAGTCTATAAAAAGCTAATTGATGATGAAATACATTCATATGATCTGATTTAGATTTAAGATCCAATCTTAATTTTTCTCTTTCTTTAGATTCTTAAGATTTGTATTCAAATTCTTTAACAGTAATTCTCAACTTGTCTCTAGCTTTTTAGATGAATTCTTCAACTGGTGTTGGTTTTTTATTTTTTCCCTTTTCCTCATCACCTTTGTCAGCAACTTCAAGATCCTAATCTTTATCAAAAGATTGCTTAACAATCACTACTCTCCAAATGGTTAAGTTATCCTTGTCTTCAATTTAGAATTATCTATTTAATATAGTCTCACAAATACCTAGCTGATTAAGGTACAACATTTTCACATAAAAACTCGTAACAAGCTAACCATTCTTAAATTTAAGTCTTAGGCACAATAGCAACTAAGGTGGTTAGATAATCGCTATAAATGAAATCTCTTGGTTTAACAATTGGTTCTTTCAATACATCAACTAAGTCTCTGACTAATAAATTTCCTTCTTTCTTAGCTACTTGTTAACTCTAATTCTTCAACTCTTAATAACTTGTTGATTTCTATCTTAAATCTGTTTCCACATGAGTAGCTCTCTAATCAGCATAAATAAATTCTTATACCGATGAAATTGCCTTCACCAATTCGGTTAATGCAGATGCTCTAGGAAATGTTTGGTCATTCCATTTAAATTAGAATAAGAAATTCTCAATACTCTCTAAGAATAATTATTTCTTAATATACATGGTCCATCTTTTAATTCAATAGTGAAATCATAACTAACTTTCTCTGTTACATCCAAATACTATCTCTCAATCTTCTTTAGCAAACTCTCTACTACTGATTCTTATTTCAATAAACTATCATTGATGAACATCAAGTGATCCAAATTACCCAACTTGAATTTTGCTATATCAGTCTGCAAAAGTCTTCCTTTAGCTTATCTTGATATTCCTGATGTCAAAACATGTTTCTCCATATCTAACCAAGCCGATTATTCATTAGACTTATGAGGTGCACCAATCAGAAAGTATACCATTTGTTATATTAAGATATTTTAATTTAATCTGTAATTATTTATTACTCATCTCCACATTATCTCTCTATTTTATCATCAAACCAATTTTTTACTTTAAATTAATATATTACATATATATCTTTCTTATTTATTATAAACCCACACTCTTTACTTCACGAATCAATTATATTATTTAGTTAAAATTCTTTATTTTTTAAGTCTTTTATAATTTTTCTAAAATAACCTTGCAGTCTTTTTTACATTAAATTAAACTCTTTAAGTTATTCCGAAGAGGTCATCTATTTGGTTTAACAAAATCATCTATGGCTAAAATCATATTAACTTAACTCATAGATAGATATAGAAATATTAAGATTATGTTCGTGCAAATTGAAATACAAAATCAAAAAATTATTATTATTGAAAGAAAATTTCATTCTTATATTAACAGTTATTATTATATATAGAAGTTCTTTAATTTAAAGTCTAATATAATAATATAAATTACAATATAGTAATAAAATAAATTTTAGAATTTATTATTAATTTATTAGATAAATATAACTTTAAAATTTTTCCTTAAATAAAATTAACTTAAAACTAATCACTTACTTTTCTAAAAAAAACAAAAAATTAGATTCTCTTTAAAATTGTTTGAAAATGCCTGAAAGTTTTAGTGATTTGATTATCTAATAGTTAATAAAAAAACTAAAAAATTCTCAATAAAAATAGAATGAAAACACACTACTTTTGAAATTTTAAATGAGCAATAAAAAAAATGAACGTAAAAATAAAAAGTTATTGTCTATATAAAATATCTGATAGAAAGCTAGACTCTTAACTAAAACTATTGTAAACTAAAATTTTTAATTTAGGTTAATATTATATTATAAAATAGTAAATTAAAGAAAATGATTATACTCTATAAATAATACACTTATTAATCACTATTTATCATGGATGGATTACATTAGCCATAAATTAAAATACATAATGAGGCTAAGGAAATGTTAATACAGGATAAAGTATTTAAAATGACTGAAAATTATTCACTGGACTCATCGAAGGATATGGGTATATATTTTATGGTTACACATACTAAGTAGCATAACTTAAATTAGTTTAAATAGAATAATCTTGAGTTTGATTCTCTATTGTTTTGTTCAAATTTTAATCCACTTTTGTTATGTTTACTTATTCTTATTCTGGAATAATATAATATGGATTCTTCACTCCAAAATATTTGTTTCTTAAATATGAATAAAATCTATTCTTGATACTATTTTCTGATCTGCCATTCAATTATTTCTAAATAATACACCATTTTCCACCTATTTTTTTGTATATTTCAATTAATTTTTCATCCTCTTCTGCACTCCAAGGCTAATTATTTAAATCTGGATGTAATTAATTTAAATAATGTTCCCTGATTTATTTTCCTGATCTATTTGGCATTAATTTTGCAATCCTACTCCAATGATATCCATATTCTTTTACTAGACTTTTTACTTTCTCATCTTCATCCTAAGTCCATTATCTCCTTAGTTTATAGCCCTTTATTCTCTTCCATCTTTAAGCACATTGAGATGGATTTCTTTATCCAATTCTACGCGCTACTTCAATCCAATCCAAACCCATTTTTTATCGCAATTCTTATAACAATTGATCTTCTTCAGTTGTCCAAGACTTCCGTTGAGATGAAATCGAATCAGCTGTAAACATTCTCCAAATAATTTTAATTTTGTTTTACTTTATCAATCAGATATTCCTTTTTAAACCAAAAAAATTCAGTTATTTCAAAAACATATTTTTAATTCTTCATTAAATTAAACTACGTTTCAAAGAAATCAGTAATATAACTTTCCTTTGTGTTATAATCTTTTATTTATTATCTTGAATATTAATATTCCTAATTCATTTAGAAAACTTAAAACTAAAATTTTCTTTATCTTGAAATTTCTATTATCTCTAAAAATAAAAAAACTATTTAAGTATAAATATTATTCCATAAAAGAAATCCTATATTTTTCATCCAATTCAATTAATCAAGCTTATTCAAATTGAAGAGTACCTTCTTTTTCATTTAATTAAAATACATATATATAATCAAATGAAGATAATAACTCATTCAATAATTAAATTCAATATAAAAAATAAGTACATTTTTATCTAATTTTGAATTTAAAGATCTAACTTTCAATAATTAAAATAAACATTAAACAATTATTTTTTAATTTGTCGCTTAAGCTTTACTTAATAAAAGCTATTCCTATTATTTTAAATAATTTTTTATTTTAAATGTCTAATCTTAATACTGATCATGATATTATCATGAATTAAGGCTTTAATTTTGTCAGATGTTCATAAGAGCAATTTTATTTTAACAAAATTTATAAATTAACTTTTTATATAATTTCATATATTTGATCACAGGCTTTTTATTATATTTATTTCCAAAAAGATTTATTCTTATTCTTATCAATTTATATAGAATAGTTTTTAAATTGTTAATATATATTATTAATTCTAAATATTAATTCTAAAAGTGTTTAAAGTTAAATAATAATCTTAAGTGAACAATCCTTTCGTTATTAATATTTAAAGTTTTAAAATTTTTTATCAAAGATGAATATGATTTCATAATAAAAATTGCATTTTGTTTTTATAAATTAAAAAAAAACTATTAAATATTTTAATCATAAATATTAAGTAAAAATTGTAGAAAAATTAATTTTGAGAGGGAAAAAAGATAAACTATATTATTTAAGTATATGTTAAATTCATTAACTTAATAAATTAAATAATATTTTTTTAATACTTTTGTGTCATTTAAATTTTGAAAATCTAATTTTTTTTTTAATAAATATATGTCTGATTTAATTTTTTAATGATTCTTTTTAAAATAAAAGTTTTTTAGCTTATTATATGCATTTTGGTATTAAATAGGATATAATTAGGTAGAAAAATAAATTTTCATGGAATATAATAGATGTTATTCATTAAATGGGTCTTTTTGATCTATAATATTCAATTTTGTTATCTTTTTTTTCAATATCTTCCTTAATTAATTGTTCACCTAGCCTGGCTAGATCCAAATAATAATTTTATGTAGAACATATATTCTAGTTAATAAATGATATATACTTCAGATAAATAATTTTTAGAATTTTCTCCTTAATCTAAAAGATCGGCTATCATTTCATAATCTTCTATTTTTTCAAGTTCATATTTAATCATGTATTTATCAAAATTAGAATTGAAATCTAAACATTTATCATCAATATCTCTTAATTACTTCAAATGTAAATATAATTTATATGTTGAATCGAATTATTAAATTATTTATAAATTTTGAACTAGAATTTTATTGCTTGCTAATTCATTTTAAGTAATTTAGTTAACAATCATTTATTAATACTTCAATTGATCATATTTAGGTTGTAGAATACCTCTTAACTTATCCAAAAATATAGGATGATAAATTAAGTCTTTTTCCCATTTTCTAATTACAGCATAAGCTTTTTCTAAATCTGCAATTTCATCCACTTAACTATAGTTTTAATATGATTGATTACTATGTATAATCTTATATTAGTTTCTTCAATTTTTGACCAAAACACTTCACATATGGATGATCCATTCTTTTAGCTTACTTTTCATCTAGGATGATTTGATGAATAAGAAATAAATAGAGTTTCTTTCTCTCTTTTCTAGCACTTATAAATTCATTTTCTATAATGAATGCTACCATACCACTATGTTCTGGGAAGGTAGAACAATAATTAGAAGTTTCTAAAAAAATAAGATATGTTTGATGTTACATTTGATAGAATCCTGTAATTCAGTAATTTCCCTAACTTATCTTTCTAATTGCTTAATGTCCATATTAGGTAAAAATAAATATATTATTTTTGTAATAATTTATCACTTGAATTATTCTTCAAGTTTAAATTTATCAACTGAATATTATGTCTGCTAAAAATATTAAACCATATTAAAATACTTCTAAATGTAAAAATAGTAAAGAGTAATAATATATAAATAATAGAGACTCATACTTCTCTTGATATAATTAAATAGTATGTAATGAATAAATGATATTAATTACATTCAAATAATAAATAATGAAAAAGATATCTTATGGTTTCTCATAGTTGATGAAATTGCATTTACATGACTATCATGTTAATTTAAAAGCCAAAATGGTTCCATTTGCAGGATATGATATGCCTGTTTAATATCCTTTAGGAGTATTAAAAGAGCATCTTTATTGCAGAGAATCATGTGGATTATTTGATGTATCACACATGGGATAAATAAAAGTATTTGGAGAAGACAGAATGAAATTTGTAGAAACTCTAACAACTGGAGAATTTTAATGTATGTATTATTGTAATGAATCAATAATTAGCAAAGAAATCAGGATAAAGTGTTTTATGTTTAATTTTGAATGAGAAAGCAGGCATAATTGATGATACAATAGTTGCAAAACGAGATGATCATATGTATACATGTTGTATTAAATAAAAAGTCACATTGTTGTTAATGCTGGTAATAAATTCATTGATATGAAACAAATGGATAAAATCATAAAGGAATATAATTATAAAGTATAATATGAATATTTGAAAGATAAACCATTAATAGCTGTTCAAGGTATATAAAGTAGATTCTATTTTTAGGACCAAATGCTCATAAAGTATTGAATGAAGTTTTTGGAACAGAACATAATTTAGATAAAATACCATTTATGTTTATGGTGAATATATAGAAAAACGGAATAGATTATTAAATTAATAGATGTGGATATACTGGCGAAGATGGTTATGAAATATCTGTTGATAATTCTAAAGCTGAAGAATTGTGTGATAAATTATTGGCTACTAAAATGACATAATTTTGTGGTTTAGGAGCTAGAGATTCTTTACGTCTTGAAGCTGGATTATGTTTACATGGTCATGAAATGGATGATACTATTTCTCCATATGAAGCTAAATTAATGTGGACTGTTCGTAAACCTAATGTATTATACTTATTTATCAATTTAGAAAGAGACTGGTAAATATAATGAATCTGCAGCATTTATTGGAAGAGATGCTTTACCTTAAAGATAGAAAGATTCTAAATTCAAAAGAATGGGATTCATTACTTAATCTGGTATTGCTAGACCACCTTGTGATATTGAATTTTAAGGTTAAAAAATAGGTTCTGTTACTAGTGGCACTTATTCACCTAATCTTAAAAAAGGTTTAGGGTTTGCTTTCATTAATAATGAATATGCTAAAGATGGAACTTAATTATAAGCTGATATTAGAGGATCTAAAGTTAATATCACTTTGAGTCCAACTCCATTTGTACCATAAAGATATTATAAACCAGAGAAAAAGTGATTAACTGTTATTTAGAAAATAATAATCAATAAATTTTTCTATCAAATTTTCTATCGAAGATTTTCTTTACAGAATTACTTTCGTAAAATCTATTTGCAAAAGAAGATTCTTAATCTGAATTTATGTTGTAGGATCTTTAAAATATTAATTTTTATTTACTTATTAAATTCTGTTGTATATTATCCTTCAAAACTTAAGTTGAATAATTTTGGACTTATTGGACGCATTAATTTTGAAGGAATTCTACTAAATTGTTATTATAAGTAATACGAAGATGTACTTTCTTTGACTAGCTATTCAGGCTTTTCAGCAAAGGGTCCTCTGATTAAAATTTAATTTTATACAATTTTGCTATCTTTTATAATGGAGATCTTTCTGTTTTTATATTCTTAAATTCTCGAGCATAACTACTTTCCGAAACAAATGGTAAATTAGATGGTTCAACTGATGATGTTTCTCTTGTCATCTTACCAGGATATTAAGGTTTCCAATTTTAAAATTATGATCTGTAAGTTGATAAATAAGATGATTAGCTTAAATTAGGGTTGAAATCCTTCTAATGAGATTTTTGTTATTTTTCTAACTTAAATGGCAGATATTGGGACTTTCTTAAATATTATATATACATTATAAACACTATCAGGATATAGTTACTTAAGGTTTTTACTCCACATTTAATCATGTGCCTTTGATTAATCCAAAAGTACATCTTGATTACCTATCATAACATTTTAATAATCTTTATGATATTAACTTTAAATAGCTTTTTATTGAATTTTATTTTTAAGGGCTTACAATTTAGATTGCTAAACATAAAGAGCTTATAATAATAAAAGTATTTAAATACTCATTATTCCCAAAAAGAAAGCTGGGTTCTATTCAATAACCTCTTCTATTGTCTAAGATTTGTCAACCAAATCATTCCAAATTTGATGATCTGTTGGAAATATTTCAATAACTGTTTGATATAAACTCTTATCTGAATCCAAATACTCTAGTTTTGGAAGCAAATTAATTTTATTTTTTTATATAGAATTATGTAATCTATGTTCCTCAGACTTTAACTTTTCATTTTACTCTCCATTATAATAACATTTTCTTATTTCAAGCCTATCAGTAAGTGGTACGAGATTATTTTTTTATTTAAGCAATGATCGCTTTTTAGGTGATTATTGCAATGTCTATTCCTAAGATGACTTCTCTTAGCTAATTGATTTATTAGTTGATATATATAAATCACTACTTTAAAGTACAGGCTTTAATTCATTCCTAATAAACATTTATATAATATTTATAAATTAATTACTTAAGAAGTTGTATATTGAGATATACTTAAAGATTATCAGACAATTCTTATATTTAGTATCAAAATTATTTAAATTGTTGAAATATGAAATTTTGCAATATTTTCTTGATAAATATCAAGTTTTTTATAAATTTTAATTAAGAAGCAATTTTAAAAAAATTTTATATAAAAATGCAAGAAATTAATTGTTCCTATATACATATTAGTTAAAAGCCTTAAAAAAATATTTTATGAATAAATTTGATGAATAGTGATTTAGATCACTATTTGAATAACAACCTCACTAAAAAAATATTTATTTTTAAACGATAACAGTTTAAAAAAGTTGAAGAAATTGTTCAAGAAATAATTTATACTTTTATTTGATAATTTATTTAGTAATTCTCTCTAAGCTTATTAATATAATAATCCTTAGTTCAATTTGATTTTAATTTTACAATCTTATATTTTATATTTTATTTTTTTTGGATCTACAGAAGAATATAATCAAATGATCGAAAGTTAAAGATAAACTTATATAATAATTTAACAAATCAGAATACTCGTTTTATACTATGATAAATTATCATTAAACTCATTTAAACCTTTTTTCTAAATATAGTTTTTTAATTTTAAGCCTATATCTAGATCTTATATTATAATTATGAGGATTTTCATTTTATTAAATTTATATTAGTTTCCTTTAATATCACTTAAATAATGTGCACTAATAAGAGATTGACTTGAAATAATTATATTATTTAACTTAATTGAAATTGTAAATGCTTTTATAGCTCCTCGCATTTAAAAATAAGAATTTACTTATTAGAGCTTTGACGAATAAGATTCATGAACTGGAATATAATTAAAAATGTGACTAACAGTACATCTATGGTAATAATGAGGATCTAGCAGTTGCTGGATAACAATTTCTTGAGTTTTATTTCTATGATTTCATGCTTCTATAAGGGTATAATTCAATTTATAGTATTAGATATCCTAATCCTCTTTCATGTTTTAAAAAGCCTAATGATATAATTTAACTAAGGTAGAGATTGCTTAATGATTCAAATTTAGCAGATATTGGGTTTTAATTGGGTTTACCTAAATTCTTGAAAGTTGGAAACTAAATTCATCTAAAGTATGTTTCTAATCTGTATTTAATTTAGGAATAATCAAAAAGTATTGGCAGATACTATTAAATCTTTGATTGCTGCATAATATTATGATAAATATTAGGATTTAGAGTCTTTAAGAGACCTTTTACATCCAGTGATGGATTTATTATTAAATAAGTAGACTATAGAAAAAAATTTTTTTATAGCATTTAGTCAGAGTAAATTCTCCAAACAAAATACAATCCTAAGTCCAATTTTGTAGAGTATTTAACTACAATCAGAGAAGAAATTGAAGTTTAACCAATATTAACAGTTGAATGGAAAAAAAATGAAGAGAATAATTTATAGTCAATGTTTTTAATTACACTTGATTTATAAATTAAAAACAAAATGTTATCTGAAGATTAAAAATTAAAAATTTAAAAGTAAGGTATTAGTAAGAGAATTACTGAGTAATAAATTTATTTAGAAGCTTTATAAGAATTAAAAAATTGGTAAGAAACCTAAAAGAATAAGTTTCTTCAAATTTTAGAATAATAATTTGATGATAATAACATTGCATCTACTTCTGTTGATTCATAATTTTTTAATAATACAAATAAGTCTGTCTATAATTTTTTGGAGTAATTTGATAATGATGAAAAATAGAAAGAATTTTATGATTCATTATCAAAAGTGTTAACTTAATTTGAAGAAAAGGATGAATTTTGATAATCGTTTATTTGAAGCTCTATTTAAAATGATTATCCAATAAAATAATTTAATTTTTAAATTATTAATGATATTTTCTTAATTAAGATGAATCTTTAGCTAGTCATATATCAAGAATTTTAAAATGAAAATTCACAAATTTTAGGAATTTTAAGCCAATTTTATAAATCTGAAGTAATAATAAAAAACAATGGTAGGTTATATTCTGATTCTAATATGACAAATATGTAGATAGTAAAATACGTATAACTGTTAGAATAAATGATAAAAAGAGAAGAAATTAAGAAAGAGATATTAATTTTTATATTAATTATATATTAAATGCAAAGTGGATTCTCAGTTTGCAGAAGAAAAGCTGGATAGACATTCAGAAAGACTCTTGGACTATATAATTATAAATTGGGACATTAGTAATATCATAAAGAACCTGGGACTATATAATTGAATGCAGTTGAGCAATTGTAAAATGTAAAATAAGCAAATTAATATTTTGAATAGACTAAGAGTTATGAAGGAATAATGAGGATTAAAAAATTAAGACTGGAAAGTGATAGAGTGTTTGGAAAATTTATTGGAAGTATTTGAAATATTATAAAATAAAGCAAAATTTGTGGTTGATAAGAGTAGAGTACCTTAATATGATATACCAGATTTAACCGGATTTGAAGTAAGTTAATGATGAATTTAGCTTAAACCTTATGTATCATACCATACTCCTTAAGTTGATTAGGAAACTTAAACAAAATTAGAAAGACTTAATGATTTTAATTTAATAGAGAATTTGGTACCTCGATCGGAAACAAAATTATTAGATAAGAAGTGACGCATCAAATATTAAGAATTTTAAATACCCTATCTTAAATATCATATTCTTCTATTCTATCTTTTTGTATTTTATTATTTATATTCAAATAATGAGTTCGAAAAGAAGAGTTGGAATAGCCCATTTCCTCCTCAGAACCTTTGAAATGCTGGAAGTATAAAAATAAATTTATAGAATTTCTACAGACACCAAAGCTAAAACATTTGATAGAGTGGTCGCCCTGTGGTGAGTTGTTTTATATAAAAAACTCTAAAGAATTTGCTCACAAAGTATAGTTGATATTCAAATTTATTTTTTAGGTGCTTCCATAATATTTCAGACATAGGAACTTTTAATCTTTCCTTAGACAATTAAATATGTATAACTTTGTTAAGAAACGGTTGAAGAATGGATGGAATCAATTTTAACATAAGTACTTTAAAAGAGAAGCCAAGTATATTATTTAAGATTATTTTCAATCTTTTTAGAAATCTACTTATACATGTCCATCGGAGAAGTAATGGTTAATGTTCCGATGAAGAAGAACAAACAGGTATTTTTATATCTTTATATTTAGACCAACAAGATTCCATCAAAAAACAATAAGAATCATTACAATAAATCAAATATCTCTAAAATGATATTGTTCTTACATCAAGCTTCCTTTTTCAATAATCAGTTATTCTATAAGGCAACTTCTAACGTCTTAAGAATGTATTATCTATATGTTTAAATTAGAAATTATTGTATCAGTATATTGAGGAACAGAAATAAGAAAAATTCCTCTTTAGCACTTTTTCTCTCTTAAATAAATCATTAAACGATTCCCCCAAGTTAACTTAAACCATACTAACACAGAACCGAAAAGAAACAGATCAGGAACCATAATTATTTGTACTCTCTTGATAAGCAAGATTTTTTATTCCATCCCTCAATAAAAATTTTTATTATTATAAAACTTTAACTGTTACATTTTCAATCACATTCTTTAAAATTACAAATTCTACCCTTATATGACTTCATTGACAATTTTATTTGAAAGCATTTAGAAGCAATGTAGTAATTAACTTAAATTAAATATCTTTAATTGCATAAATTATTATTTAAAATAGATAAATAATATCATTTTTATAAACACATATGTATAATCATTATAAATTGTTTTATATAAATTATGAAAACAAGGCTCTTTTCTCATTTGTTTTATAACGTCGCGTTATTTAACTTAAGGAATAAATCAATAGATTTCTGCATTAAATTTAATAATATAATATGAGTGCTTAATAAAATAAATAGAAAGATGTTATCAATAAATAAATGACATTTGCACTGAATCCAAAGCCTGATATTAATATAACAGATCAAATCAAAACAAATAAAGTTAATAGTTCAGATCCTAACCATGTGAAAAGTGAGCCTTAATAAAAAGTAACAAATTAAGTATCAAATTAAAACATTGGAATATTTTAAGACATAGAATAATAAGTAAGCTCAATTATCATGATTGTTAGAAAAAAAATAAGGAGTCGAAAAGCTTGAAAAAATAAAATAAAATAAAGTATATAGCAACGAGGTAATGGTGTCAATAGATTTATTTAGATCAATCGCTGGATTATAAGCTTACACAAAAGCATAGAAAGAAAATTAAGATTCGTTGTTCTATAAGTTAGAAATCAATAAATAAGCTGATTAAAACATATTTCTTTTGGCTGATGGTCATGGAGAATAAGGTGCAAAAGTATCCTAATATGCAATATAATAACTTTCTGATTGCATAAATGATATTATAGAATCTTAGAACACTGAACCAAAATAAGTGGAACAGCTAAATTCAAATATTATAACATGTTTTAAAAAAATTGAATCAAATCTGGTAATGTAAACCATATAATTGTAAGGCAAACTTATCAAATATTGATATTACTGATAGTGGTACAACGATGAATTTGGTTTTAACTTTTGAAAATAATTTAATATCTGCTAATATTGGTGATACAAGAACATTTTATTTTTAAAGAAGTGATAAACTAGATTAACTAGGACCTGCTACTTTAAAAATTAAATAATTATCGATTTAACATACTCCTGAAAAAGCATCAGAATCAAAAAGGATTTTGGAATTAGGTGGAAAAATTGAGTAAGACACATAAGGTTTTTAAAAGACAGGACCTTTGAAAGTGAAATCAAAAAAATAAGATATAAAAGGTGTTACAATAACAAGATCATTTGGAGATGGATTAGCTAAATAAGTAGGAATTATATCAGAACCTGAAATCCATACATTCTAAATTTTATAAGAAGGATTTTTAATATTAGCCACTGGTTCAATTTTAGATATGATTGATATTATAGATATTTGTAGAATCTTAACTCCAATCACTCCTCCTAATAGTTAAGCAATACTTGATCAAGCAGCAGGATAAATTATAGAAGAAGCTAGAAAAAAGGCAAAACTTTAACCTGATATATAAGATGACTATTCATTGATTTTAGTTTATATTGAAATGGATTTTGCTTGAAATCCAAATAAATATCCTTATTTATAAATTCATAGAGTTAGTTACATTTCTTTATCAACATTAAAAACGCACACTTCTTTTATAATATAGAGATTTCGACTTAACCTTCTTTTCTCTCAAAATACCAGGTATTTGTTGCTCTTAATTTGAACTATTAATTGAACGAATAGATTTCATTTCATTTTTTAATGATTCATAAGTAGGACTCTGATTTTTTATCCATTATTATAATGGAGATTGACTAGTTTCACTATTTCTAGCACAAAAAGATGTTGCATTTCTATTTTATTCTCTAAATATTTCAACTATTCTACTCTATTCTGATTCTCTATAATTAATTTTTTATTTTTTTTTATTGAAAATTTAGGAGATATCTCCGCCAAAAGATTTTATTTAATTTTTTAGAATAAGTTTTTATTATTGAACTCCTAAGGAGAAATTTGATTGAAATTGTTAAGAAGAACAATTAATTTGCTTTTTAGATTTAGTTGTATCTAAATCTAGTTCGTTGATTTCATCCATAGTTTCTATTCTGCTATTGATTTAATAGATTTCAAATATGGGTCTCTTTATTTAATCTCTATGAGAAATTGGTTTGATTTAGATTAATTAGTATTAGACTTCACTTTAATCTATAGTTTAATGATGCTGCTATTAACAACTCTATCCCATAATTTTATAACTTTATTTAAATTAGTAAATTATATAGAAATTAACTATTAATTATTTCAATTGTTTCTTTGATCAACTAATTATCTGATTTAATCCATTATATTATTCATTGATTGAATTTTACTACTTTTGGTTGCCATATCAGAGAATCTTTATTCAAAGTATTTGATGAGGGATTCAATTTAAAATACAATATTATCCTATCATATTTATATAAATTTAATACCAACTATTTTTGATTAATTTATTGAGTTATTTTATTAATAACTTCTTTTCCATCTTTATCAATTGATTCATCTAAATAAAAGCATTTTTAGATCATCAAAAGTAACATCATAATAATATTTGAATATGTATTAGTAACTTTTTGTGTCTTTTTTAGATTGTTAACTAATTCGATAGATTAAGTAGATTCTGTACTACTATGATGTTTTAAATAGTCAAGATTCTCTTTATTGTATCTGTTAGTATTCCCATTATATTAAGATTACTCAGTAAAACTATATTATTTATATGATTAAATCTTTTTCTTAAGGAGTCCATTGGTTTCATTTAATAATTGTAATTGATTTTAAGTTTCATCTAATGTTTTCGTGATTTCTTAATTTAATTTAGTTAGATAAATAATTTATGATTATTGTTTTTCATATTTAGATTGCAATTCTTGATATTGTATTTATTGTTTTTGTAATTAATTTTATGTTTATTCTAATTATTCAAGTAATTAAGTAAATAGAGCATAGGAATCATTTTCATATAATTCATTTTATAAGGTTTCATCTTAATTATATTGTACATTTTTATCCTCTTCAGTATTCATAGTATTATTAGATTTTTTAGTCATGTTTTCTCTACTTTGACTTAGATCATTCTCAGCACTGATTTCTTCAATTGACCTAAAGGATTAAATTAATTAATAATACTATCTCATTTAATATAATTTAAGAAACTTCTTCTATAATGGAAATGAGGCTGTATCAGGTGAACCAATTTGAATGGAAGAATTAACACTATTTTAATTTTGAGAGAATGGCAATCTAGTTGGATTAAAATTATTATTTGAATTCAATCCAAATGAACATCGAACAGATGATAATTTCTAATTTTCTTATTAAGGATGTGGTGAAAATTATAGTAATTATTGTACTTCATTTAACTTTTAGTTTAATTTAATATGTTTACTTTTTCATGATCAGATGGCTTTTTAATTTGGATTGCACTATCAATTTCTGCATTATATCGTAGAGAATCAATTTATTAATCATCATCAAAATGATCATCTAATTCTGAAAAGTTTATTCTTTTTTTTGGGTAACTAGACATATTTGTTAATATTTAAATTTTTTAATTAAATAATATTTAATATTACATATATAAATCGTTTTTTTAGAAGGAATGAACTTAAAATATTTGTTTCTCTTTTAATTGATCCTTTTGAGTTTGGCACACAATCAAGGAAAATCAGTAAAGTTATCAAAAAAGCAAGCACATCATAAACATCACAAATCATAAAAATTTTTGGATAGTATAATGGTATTTTATAATGATAATCAAAAAAGGATGTAAATGAAGATTCAATAGAATTATTACTATAAAAACATGAAGTAAATTCATACAAAATCAAAAGAACTTCTATTTGGCTGAAATGACAGTTGGGACACCTGAATAAAAATTAACTGTTTTAATAGACACAGGAAGCCCAAATCTTCTACTTACTTCATCACTTTGTTAATAAAACAGTTGTATATAACATGGTTCATACAATCCTTCCTTATCAACAACTTCCTACTATATAGAAGCAATAAAATTGGCTAATGTATATTGTATATTTGTATTTAGGGAGAAGTAGGGAATGAGATTGATATATAATTTGCATCTGGAAGTGTGGTAGGAGTATTTTTTGAAGACAGAGTTTGTCTAAATTAATACTGTGTTAATAATTAATTTATTGTTGGGATAGTTGAACAAACTGAGGATGTAATCAATAAATTAAATTTTAGATTTTTAGTCAAATGAAATTTGATGGAATATTAGGATTAGGACGTATAAAGGAAGCAGTTGTAAAAAATGCATCCTATATTCACAATTTAGAATATGATGTAAGATATATAATGATTCTCTATTAAGACTGATACTAGAAATTTTTCACTTTATTTAAGTAATAGTGAGGATGATGATATGTCAAGTGAACTTGTTTTGGGAGGTATTTCATAACATTTAATTGCACCTGGAGAGGAGTTTAAATTCTTTGATGTAACTTCAGATAATTTATGGACTATAAATATTAAAGCAGTATTTTTGGGAGATGAAAGAATAGATGATTGTAATAATTGTTAAGGTCTAATTGATTCTGGTACATCCTTTATCAGTTTTCCAGTTTATGCAATGGAGAAATTCTACTAAAAATTTGGAGTGTAATTATATATTATATTAATGTTTAGTTATTAATTATGTAGTAATATTGATTCATTCCCAGATTTAACATTTATTTTAGATAGAGGTATTAAATTTACACTTACTGGATCATAATATTTTAAAAGAAATACTCATGCTTTATTCTCTAAAGATATTTGCATTCCTTATATTAAAAATAACCCTATAATTGGAGATGAACTTATTGTTCTTGGATAACCATTTCTTATTCATCATTATGTTTGGTTTGATGAAGATTAATCTAAAATTGGAATTGTTAAATCTAAATAGCCATCTCATCAATCCTGATGTTAATTATTAATACAATTAATAAAATATTATATTTTATTATCTATTTCATTATTATTATTATTATTATTATCATTATTATTATTTATGATTCAATATCATTATTCTTTTAAATTTCAAATTTGCTCATATAGATTGAATATCTATTTTAATAAGAAAATTAAATAATGATTTTGCAGATATTGTTCAGTTGACTCTAAGTTTATCAAAATGAATTAATAAAAATAAGATGATAAGGGGGTTTTGGCATATTAATTTATTTTAGTGATATAATGAGAATATTATATAAATATATAATTTTTAAATGATTAATGAATTATAAATGTGTTTATTACAATAATATATAAATAATTTCTTTTATATGAATTAATTTGAATAATGTGAAAGAAAAAAGTAATGCTCTTTGGATTAAATGTTTAAGAAATATGAGGAAGCAACTTATGTATGTTGTATAATAATTATGTTAGAGATATTAGAAAGGTTTAGAAGAAAAAAAATAGAGAGCAAAAATAGAATCAGATAAAGCGAGGGAAGCTTAATTTATTTAAAAACTTGAAGCTTAGAACAAAAGAATAGAATTTGATGAAAAATTATAAGAATCTTAAGAAAGAAAAAAGGATTTAGAAAAACATATGTTGGAGAAACAATTATAAAAAAAATAAAAAGATGAAGAAGTAAGAAGAAAAAAGAAAGAAAATGAAGATGAAAAACTTTAGAAATTATTGAAGAAATAAGAGAAAAAAGACGTTCAAGTAAAGAAGGTGAAAAAAGATGTTTAAAAAACTAAAAAGAAAGATGAATTAAAAATATTATTAGATCAATCTGTTTCTGATGATGTATCTTTAGATTTGGAAATAGAAAAGAAAAGATAATGCAAATCATTATCAGATAGTTTATAAGCCTTAGAGAGTGATTAGATTATATATTTTAAATTACAGAAATAAAAAGAAGTTGAAATTAAAGAAAATAAGAAAAAGTAGAAATTAAAATAAATAATGCCATCAAAAACTTTTAGAGAATAATCAGTGCCTACAATTAAAAAAACTTTAAATTTTCCTATTTTAATTCGTTCTAAATAGGAAGAGAATTCATTTATGTTATCATCAATTATTTAATAGTAACCTTAATCACCAACTTAAAAAAATGAAGAAAGTTCTAGTACTAATGTTACACCAAAAAAAGAGAAAGAAGAAGAACCTCAATTTTTCAAATTATGTTAAATTTGTAATAGCATAATAGATAATGAAGATGGAGATAAACACATTTAATCAAAGTCTCATAAATAAACAAAATAATATTATAATTTAACAGCAACATAAAATGATATATTGGTTGTAAAAGGATCGAAAGACGAAATGTCATAGAATAGATTTTAATCAATTAGAAAACGTTGTTAAAAGATTAAATAAAAAATCTAATAGAAAAGTCTTTAATTGGAAAACATGAATATTTATTGTTATAAAGAACCAGGAAATAGTTATAATAGATAAAGAATTTAAAAATTATCAAATGATTTAGATAAACTATTGAACAATTAAATCAAAGATTTATATTAAATAGAATAATAAATGAAAGAACTATTGAAATTAGTGAATTAAGAAACAGATTTAATAAATCTTAGGTAAATGAAGTTTATTTAAATTGTGATAGAAGTCTTTAAAAAGATCTCTTCCTGTCATAAAAATGAATACACTCAATACCTAAAAATTATAGGCGTGGTAAATACTATTGATTATCATTGAGGCTACAGAAATAGTTTACTAATTTTGCAGTGTTTACAATAACAGGACCTATATGTTGGCAAGTAACAAATTACTACCTATTATTGATTTTATGTACAATTTTCTAGCATCTAAACCAACCAAATTTATTTATAGTTATTAATTTGTGGCTTAATGCTTTTAAATATTTAGTTTATTAATTAAGCATAAATTACCATCAGATCCACTTTCAGATTTGAATATTCAAGAAATTTAAGAAGATACCTTAGAATATATGTATTGTTGTGGATTATTCAATAAAATGAAGTTGAGATTTTTATCATTTGAAAAGGATTACATCAATTCAGAAGGCAAAATTCCTGTTGCTTTAGTAAAAAGTGTTGCATTTATAGAGGCTGCAACAAACTATCATGGTTTTGAGTATTTTTATATTTAAATCTTTAGAACTTAGAATAAATCACTATTTGATGAAGATGGCAAAAGAATATCTAAAAGTTTTGAAGAGCATCTTAAATTTGTTTTAAAAGAAACTGAACTTTTTGGTTTGATTTAATTAATTAGTTAAATGGTTGTAGGGGAAGAGATATGTTTTACAACTAATAAATTATTACCATAAACTATTATAAGTTTTTTCATGGTTGGAATCAAGACTTTAAATAATATTGCTAGATTAAATATTATAGTCTTATAGGAAACTATGAATAAACCATCTAATAAATAAGAAGTTCATATGATCATATAAAGACTTGTAACATATTGTAAATGTAATCTTGAATAAAGCCAAGATTTAAAAGACTTATTAAATGAATTAATTCTTTTAATTGGTTATTATTGTGTTTTAAATACAAATAATTAAAATTCACTTGTAGGATCAATGAAAAAGATTTCAGTACTTCATAATTTATTATAAATGCCTTCTCAATTTTATGTTGATAAAATATTAAAGAACATTCTCTTTCCTACATTACTTTGTTGTATATTTAGAAATCCATACAACATGAAAATTGTTTTAGAAGAAATAGATAAATCTTATTTTTAAGAAATTTTATAATAATATGATGTAAATTTAACAAATTATTTTAGTCTGAACAATTTTATGAAAATCATAATGGTCAATAGTTATAAAGATCACCATCAATTTCTAGTACAAATTCTTAGAATTCAGTATTTCCTTACAGTTCTGCTGTATACTTTAAGCTTAGTTAAAGATTTCCTATTTGTTTTTTTTAAGAGGCTTATAAAGAATTAATAGATTATAAGGATTGACTTATATTATTTTTATTTAAATTTAAAAGTTATTTTTATAATACTTCAAATATCTTTACCATTTATTTAATTATTTTCTAATTCTTCATTTTTACCAAAAAGAAAGTCATGAGAGGCTCTAAATACATCATAAGTATTTTAAATATCTATTCCAAGAGAATTGCATTAGTTTCGCTCTGTCATAAATTAATATAAATCTAAAGAATCATCTTCTTCAATATCATGACCAAAAAATTTCTCAAATGAATCTTTAAAATGATTTTGCATATCTTTCTTTTCTATAGCCAAAAGTAATTTTGCCACTTATGAAGGTCTTAACTCAGTCCTCAATTGATCAAGAGTAGAATCAAATGATGCAAGTTCTTTTTAAATTTAAGATTTTGTATCCATTATTTATGTAACAGCACTTTAATTAAATACATATATACTTAGAAATGTCTTAGTAATGCTTAGCTAACTTTTACTACTTTTTCAAAAGTATCTATTTCTATTTATCTGCCAATTTCAATTATGTTAATAAATTATGATTTATATTTCTATTGTTATATCAATATATTTACTATTCATTTTAACAAAATATATCATCTTGTTTTTTAGCTATCTAAATTATATAATTGCAAAAAGGAGCCAAACAATTTTCATTAATCTATCTTGCATAATGATCAATTAAAAATTATCTTTCTTAAGATGCTGAACCAAATTTTTTCTAAATTAATAAATTAATTACATTTAAAGAATCTATTATTGAATCAACATTTGCTTCAGATGCATTATTTTACAATGATGTTTAAAGGTTATTGAATAAAATACATTTAGTTTAATCTTATTCTTTTTTCTAAATATATCATTATTACTTACTTATGTTAATTTAATTTATAAATTCTATGCTAAACTATAAGTTTTATCGTTAACATCTTTAAACAAATCCAATTATTCTGATAATTTAGTTACTTTATTTTCAAGTAATTCAAGATAAATTTTCTTTCTTTTTCTACTATTTCTTGCAGATTCCCTATTTTTTGCTAATTTGTCTTCCTTTTCTGTTTGAGAAACATAATTAAATTACTATTGACTTTAATATGTTTTTGTAATAAATTTTTTTTCTGGCCTTACTTATTAATTATATTATATACATAGCTTTATCTTCAATTTTTTCTTATGTTGGAGATAATTTCATTAACGAGCTAATTTTTTTGATATAAGTATTTTTTGTATTTTCTTTTATCCTTCTATTGTTATTTGTAGAGGATTAAATATTTTTTATATTTCCTTCGAAGTCAAAATTTGCATTTTAACTAGAAGATTATTAGAAGCCAATAGGATCAAAATCATCTAATTAATTCATTTATTATTATTATTATAGATTATTATATGGTGTAATAAATCCTAATGAAGTTAAATCATTTGATAATAAATAAAATTATTATAATTTTTTCATTACAAAATAATTCATTTTAAAACTCTAACCACTAAATTATCCTTAATAATTGTTTTATATCTATACCAACATTTCTCAAGATTCATTATTTCAAAACTAAATCTAATAAAATTTTAATTACTATGTATAATGATTAAAAAATCCATACAATAGAACAAGGATGTATATAAATTAATGCAAAACTAAAAGTGTTATAAATGAAACCAATAAAAAAGTAAAGTTGATTTCTATTTAACCAATTTCAAACTGAATGTCTAAAACATATGAATCTTATAACTATTATAATTATCAAAACTTACACAAATAGATTATAAATCCACAAAACTGTGTAATTATTAATGTGAAATAAAACTTAAAAATCCAATCATCTTATAAACATTTCTTATAAAAGGATGAGCAAATTTAAAAATTGGGATGACAACATTTACATTAATCACAATGTTCAGTTTTTGGCAATTTAACAATCATACAATCTAAACATAGTTAATCAGGTTAAAATTGAATTGGTGTATCCTAATCTATTGATTGTACAATATGTCTTATAAAAGGTTTCTAAAAAATAAATCTTAATATTCACTTCAATTTCAATCATACTATCGTAAATCATATTCATAGATTGATTATTATTATGATCATCACATATAAATGGAACTATTGTTTAATCTATTTCTAAACATCCCTATCCTTCTCCAAATACTTCGTTTGACATATTAAAGCTAGATACATTATTTTTATTTGTTTGATAAGCATCCTTTGCCATTTATGCATTCTCTATTATATAAAATAACATAAAGTTAAAGAATATATTGTATAATTATAAAAAAAGTGATCCATGTTTCAAATATGATTCTTCAAATTCAGTAAATCTAGATAAAATAAATAAATTTAGTATTGTTATTGTTATGAAATATAAGTGCTATTAAATATGCATTTTAAAATATGCTAAATATTTATTTTTTACTGTATTTTTCTTTTATAAACTTTGTAAATAATTTAAGCACTCATAAGAGAGTTAATCTTATGCTCTTGCTAAAGGAGTTTTTTATTTCTTATCCATTTCAAATAAATTTAATTTGAATAGGTTTTTTAATATCTTTAACATAAATAAATTATTATTATATGCAGACCAATGAGCCAAACTACATCCATTAAGATCTTTCACAAATACCTCTGCTCCTCTAAAATAAAATTATATTTTACTTATATATTAAATAAATAGCAATATATGTTTAATTGCTTTTGATAGAAAATAATAAAGGAGTAAAATTGTGATCATCTTTTTTATTTATATTGACACCTAATTTTAGTAAATGTTTAATAATTGATAGCTATCCATAGTAACATGCTATAATTAAAGGAGTTTACTGTATAGGGTTAGGTTAATCAAGTATTTATAAAGGATTTTAGCTGCAATTTTAAATTAAATTAATAACATAATGAGCCACCTCAACTTATTTCTCAATTATTAAATTATGTAATAAAGGTTATTAATTTTAGTATTAAAAAAGATTATAGAATTTGATATCCTTCTCCAAAAGTAAGCAAATTATTTAATATTGTTTTCTCTTTGTTATTTCTTCAAATTACATTTCTTCTTCAATTTAATTCATATTATTATTATTAAAATTAAATTAAGAAAAATTAAATTGAGAATTTCAAGAAAACCGTGATCACACAAAGAGAAATCATTTTTATTTCTTAATTCATATTTATTTAAATAAAAATATCGGAACTATATTATTTATTTTAAGATTAATATTTTAAGCCATCTAATTTATTTAAACCATAAAACCTTCTTTGATTTAAGATGTTTTTCTTCATATTATATATTTTTTTATAATTAAATTAGTATGATTCAACAGCTATTGATTATTTTAATTCAACATATGTAGTCTTATTTTTAAAATGAAATACAGCATATAAAAATCTTTAAACTTGAAATTCAAATATTAGACCATTTCTCTTTAAGCTCATAATACTTGAAAACATAAAGATTAATGGTTTTAAGTCTAAAAATTTTTTTAATGTGATTATAGAAAATTGATAAAAAATATCATAAAGAAAATGAAATATGTAGAGAAAAATAACAATACATCTTTCATAATAATTTATATTATCTTTTTGTTTTTGTATTTATACGTTTAGGACATCCTTTTAAATTTCTAATAAAATTTTAAATCTTGAGTAATATCAATATTTATGATATTTTCAGAAAAATAATTATTTAATCTCATTTATTAGTTGTAACAAACTTAATTTATTTAAGATATTTTTAGGGGATTTAATAGATATTTTAATATATTATTTTACTTTAAAATAATCACAAATCTTTATATTTATTTCTAGCTGATCTTCATGAAGTAAAGATTAATTTGATTCTTTGAAGCTTATTTTTATGAAAGATATTACATATTTTGATAATTTTTAATTGTTAAAATGATATAATAATTATAAGTGATTTATTTTAATTCTTTCTTTTCTAAATTATCACTTTTAGATATAATTCAAAAATATAATTGTGAGAGTATTCAATTTTTTATCAATATGATTAGATTTTTTATTAAAATGTTGAATAATATAGAAATTGATAGAAAAAACAACAAACATATTTGCTTCAAAATAACTTTGTTTAAAATTATAGTGATTTTGGCTATAAAATGCTTTAGATCAAATAGCTGAGGTCTTATATAGAATTGATAAAATAATATATAAGTAATTAATACAGGAAAATAAGAGATGAAGTTAAAAATACCCTAAGTTCTTAGATTTTAAACTGAAACTAAAAGCCAATAAAGTAATTCAATAAAGGATTTAGATATTTCAAAAAACCATGATCAAACATAGCAATAAAACTAAAAATCTCATTAGATAGTAAATCATTATTTTCAGCCAAAATTAAAAGTAATAACTAGTTTAAAGCCTTAACTTTTGGTTAATTAAATACCAATTCATTAAAATAAAAGTTTTCGAGAACTCTCCTTTGCTGAATCTTCAGGAAGTCCCAAATCAAAAAGAGAAGAAAAATTTGATGAAGTTTGTTCAAGTTTTAGAGGTAGAATTTAATCAATTAAACAATAAATGTCTCCTTACTTAATCAATTAATAATCACCTCCTTCAATGAGGAACCTAGAAAGTTAAAAAAAGATTTAGGAAAATACTTTCTAATATAATAGACATTAAGTAAATAAATAAAAAGAAATTGATTATTCCCCTTCTTATTAGCTTGCTTAGAATGAGTATATGAATAATTTTTAGTAAACAAAAAGTCCCCGGCATTTAGTTCCATTTCAAATAGAAAAATCTGTCAAAGATATTGAAAGATCAATTAAAAGATAAAATGAAAAATATTTATCTCCAATATCAGCCGAGAAGAATGTTGTATGTCCTTAAATTAAACAATTTGATAAAGGTTAAGAATTTAAAGAAAAAAATTATAATAAATTAAAATAAAGAAAAAAATCAATACATTTACCCTAGAGTTATGAAGATGTAATAAATAGAAAAGTAAAGAACTTTTAGAAAAGTACTTTTTAAAATTAATGCATTCATTTAATATATATTAGACCTTCAGCGATAAGGATTTAAAAATATCTTTTAAAAGATGTTAAAAATGAAGAATTATTAAGAAAATGTTTCAGTTATAGATGGTGGTGGTAAGAATCAACCAATCAAGGCGAAGATGTTGAATTCTTTTGGTATTCTCAAGCTTCAATTTCTTTTTTAAATAAATAAGAATAAAGACATATTAGTGATAAAAAATAATTTCAACCATTTGAATAAATTGTAAAAAAAGCTCAAGGAGTAGAAGATTAAATGAAATTTGCTATTGAAAATAAACTAAGTTTATTATCACCAATAATAAAAGTACATAATCATATTGATCTTTCATATCCATTATGGACAAAAAAGAATTTAATTGGCTAAATTATTAAATATTGTCAACTAACAAGATAATATGTTGAAAATTTCATTCCGCTTTCGATGGTAGTGGATTATTTAGGTGAAAATCTGCTTTCTGAATTCTTGAAAAATCTTAATACATCAACAAGTGTTTGGGTTGTAAGAAAAAGCGATTTCAAAGAAGATGATAAAATTATGATTTGTCAAAACACATAAAGTGTATTCAATCATCTTTCTAAAGAATTCAAGATGTCAAATAGAAATTAATAAAGTTTTATAGTATAATAATTTATTAGTTCATTTGCATATTAAGAAATTTAATTAGATCTATGTTATTATTTACTTATTACTCAAATAAATGGGATTGTAAGGGGATATTTTTTTTAATAATTTTATGGATAATAATCAAAAATATAATTTTCTAATTTTGATAATGAATCTCGCATAATTTAAATTGAAAATTCAAAATAAGAAATTTAAAATCAATACATTCCTATGAAAAATATTTAAAATCATTTTAAAAAACATAATATTGATTATAAAAATAAGATATACCCATAGATAAAACATATTTTGTGTGAATATTTGAAATCCATATTTATTCAAATGCCAGTTAAAGATCACAACTTTGAGGTATTAAAAATTATTTTAATTAGTTACTTAAAGTTGTGATTATAATTGATAATGAAAGCAAACCTTGGTTAATTAATACAGAATCAAATCCTGTTTTTGAAACTGATCTAGAATTTATGAAGGATTATTCATAACTATTATTAGATAATGTTTTATAACTTGGATTAGATATTTTATTCCCATCACCATCTATATGGCCAAAAGAGAAAAAACGAGATATAGAAATTTATTAAGAAATAAACTATTTCGATTTAGTTTTCGATTCAAGAATTGAAGGAAAAGGATTAAAATCCTTATTTGAATAAAATTATAATAAAGATAATTATTGCGATGATGAATATTGACTTTTATTTTATACTTAAAAAATAAATCTATTTATTTTGGTTACTTTAACATTATAATAAAGAAAAAGAGTCATGGCTTGATATAAAATTAGAAAATGAACAGAATGATAAAAAATTGAATGAATATCATTCTGTGTTCTAGTTCATAGATTCATATTGAATAGTCAATCTGTGGTTTAAGCCTGAAAAATTTAGGATTGGATTTCTATTTAAATGAAAAGATATAAAATACCCTTGTTAATCTTTAATTTAATGATTTTCAACTATCCCTTATATTAAATCTCTTTTACACACATCTATAAAAAAATTCATGACACTTTCTCTTGTATTGATATCATCATCATTATCATATGCTTCTTGTAATAGATTTTGAAATTCTGGTTTGATTCCAAGTTGACTATCCATATATAAAGGAAACTTGAATTTGACCTTAGAATCAGTTTGAGATTACAATTCAACAAACTTTTGTGTAGGTTTTTTCTTTTAAGAAACAGTAGATAATTAAAAAGATTATGAGTATTATTCCCAACTTATTTTTTGGGGTGGAATATTCTCTTTGCCAAAATCAATCTTGAATATTGGTATATGAGAACAATTTGGGGGTTTTGGAAAAGGATGTATAAAAATAGAAGTAGGACGTCTATCTGCTGAATGTGATTATGATTTTTAAGTTGAGTGATTCATTTTGGAGAATAATTTGGCGCACTATTAATTTAAATTTAAAATTTTAATGGAAATCTATTTGTATAATTTCTAAATAAGAATAAATGTAAATTGAATAATTAGAAGAAGAAGATCATTCAATATAAGCATTAAGAGCTAAATACAAAGCTATGATATCAGTTTAGATATTAGATGTTATTATTAGATGTGTAATTGGAAGTATGTGGGCTTTAATAACATATTCTTCTATATTGGGATTTTTCAAATTATTTAGAATTGTATATAATCAATACAAATATGATTATTATAAGGATAAATGGCTTAAAGAGGTATCATTATATGAAGATGAAGAATGCATTAATTAAACAAATGAGAAATATAAAAAAATAATAGTCTTATATCATGATCGTTTAGAAAAATATGATAGGAAATTACAATAAGGATTATATAGATATTCATTTTTAATTCTGATTGTATTTGGATTGAATATAGCTTGGTGGTACTTTGATTATATGAGATCATGCATGTTTTATGGATTTGTTGTATTTGTAATTTATCAAATATATTGCTTATTGGATAAAAAATATATACAACCATATTTAGAAAGATTAGAATATGAGAAGGAAAAAAAAAGATTGGATGCAGAAATTGCAAAAAATAAGAAACATAACTGATTGTTCATATTGTCTATTAATTGTTTTTTTCTATGCAATATTTATTGTTTACTTATATAGTTAGAAACCATTTTGAAGTTGATCTAGAGGAAAGCAACTTGGTTCATAAATTGTTTTTAATTTAAATTATATAATTTATATATAATTGTATGGCATCCTCATCAAAAACTGATTAAATTTACCTGATGACACTTTTCAAAGAAATCAAGACTAGCGTCTTTAAGTAAGATATAAGTTAATGTTAGAGTGTTTTGCTTGATTTTAAAAGAATAAGAACAAACATTTAGTTAGACTGTGTTATTGTCAACAATATAGTTGCTCTAATTACTTTATATTCCTTTTGCTCTAAAAATAAAATACATTTGGAAAAATAATTAAGTAACAGATGTAATCAACAGAATATTAAGGTAAATAAATGTATTAAATATGAGTTATTTTGAAATTTTGTTACATGTAAAAGACCAGGGTTTTTCAGTATTTTTATATCTGTTTTACTCATTTTCTGGATTGATTGTTTTAATTATGTTAGGATTAACTTTATTAGTGAATCAATAAAATAGAAAAAACAGTACAAATTGGATAGTATTGGTTGTTAGAATAAGTATAAAATTAATGATTACAATCTTATTTTTTCCAATAAATTAAATTTTCTTTGGAGTATTTTATTAATCTAATTACATAGTTATTAGCATGTACAAATAATTCAAATGGTGTTAGCGTATTGGTATATTAAACAGATCTTATATGTTGGTCAGATGAGCATACAATTCATGCAGTTTTATCAATTTTTATTATATTGCTATTTTAGATACAAATTAACACATTTACCTTATTTTTGTTTGAAGCCAAGAAATCAAATATAGATGTTTTTGCATAAAGATCTGGTAGATAGTTTTCTTTATTCCATATTTATATAACATTGTCTACTATGGTTTATTAATTAGTAGAAACACCAGCCTATAGTATAATAATTATTTTGACTATGTTTATCTTAAGTCTTCACTTTTTTTATTAGATTAAGTATTCAGCTCCCTTTTATAATTAAAATGTTTAAAAATTATGGAATGTAATTACTGCAATCAATTGTTGGACTACATTAATGATCAATTTTGCATATTTTTTAGAGGGATAATATTTTTAGAATTCCTTACTTGGATATGCTTTGGGAATTCCTATACTTATAGGAATCATTTTTAAATAATAGAATGAAGAAATAGATCTCCTATTTTCAAATCTTAATTAAGCATAATAACCTAATGAATTGATATCTTTATGTGCTTATCTATTGATTTTAAATGAGAAATCAATCAAAGATTAACATTCTTAATTACTATTAGATGCATTCTTAGAAATTCATGAATAAACATGTCCTAGATTAGATTGTATTATGAAGAATAAATAATTATTACGATAAATCTAAAATAAACATTAAAATAAATAAATAGAAAACAAGATTATTATAAATGAATTAATAATTTAAATGTTAACTTTTGGAATCAAAATGTAACCATTAAATATAGATCTTCGTTTATATTATTCATTTTTTTTGATGGATGAAATTAAATCACCTTAATTGGCATTTATTGAATTATCTTAAGCAGAAAATAATTCAATTCCTATTGATCAATAATTTATTATATATAGATACAAAAAGCTTATTGAAGATGTTTAAGTGGAAAATGATATAACTAAAGTAGATGCTAATAATTTTATTAATAATTAAAATATATAGATTTCCTTAAATTCTAAATTAGAAGCATAATGTATACTTTAATTAGAATTTCTGGCTGCTTTAGAAGAAGAAAAACCAGATCTTGCTAAATTAGATAGTGTAGGATTTAAAATATTAAGATTAAGAAAATTTATTGAAAAAGAATGGTAAAAAGTTTAACAATAAAATGCCTATTCACCTATGTTATATAAAATTATGAGTAAATATTTCTTTTTTGTTCTCAGTGATGAATATGAAGGAAATATGACATTAATGAAGTAAGATAAATTTATTAAACTTTAAATAAATGATGTAGTTAATTTAGAATAAGCATCTATGGAATCATCACCAATTATTATATTAAATACTGATCAAAATAATTTCTGTATAATCAAAGATGTTAATATAGCATCTTGTAGTTTTCTAGGTTTTTCAAAAAGTGATCTAATAGAAAGAAAACTATCTGTTATTCAACCATAAATGTATTGATTTCATCTATTTTAGATATATAAATCATCATGATTAATTGATTGATAATTATTTAAAACGTATTACTGATATTTAAAAATCAAAGGTTGAAAAAGTTATTTTTATCAAAAATAAATAAGGTTATATTTAATAATGTTCATTATAAATTAAATAAATAATGACATAAAATTAAGAAGTTTTTTTAATAGGAAAAATAGGAATAGAATTACTTTATAAACCTATATGTTATTTAATTTGTAATACTGATGGAATAATAAAAGAAATTAATTGTGCATGTATAAAACTATTACGTTTAGAAATCTAAATGATTAAAGCTAGTAATAAAAATATAAAAGATTTGTTTCCTGATATAATGAGCAGAATACCTGAAATATTGGGGAAAAAAAATTCAATCATATCTTTTAATTTAAATACAAATTAATTAAACCCTTAAAGATCATCATCGATTAAATCATCAGGAATGGATAGCACTCTTTTAGATGATTGTGTAGTAGATGAAATTCTTAAATTATAATGTTAAATTTAAGAAATATATATTGATTTACCTTAAGCTGGTTTAGTTGGATATGTATTTAAATTTGAAAAAATTACACCACCATAATTACCTACTATTCATAATACTATGGTGGATAATTTTTATAAATTTAATTTTAAATTTAATTCATAATAATTTACATATTTTGGATCCTATTAAAATTATATGTAAACTTTACATAAAATCAGCTATGATACTAGTTCAGCTGTTTCATCTTAAGAAGACTTATAATTAAGATAAGTAAATAGAAAATAAACAAAAAAATCTACAAGCATAAGTAATGGAATTAAAACAGTTAGATTGATTAATGGTATGTTAATTGATGTTGAAGATCTTTCAGAAGAAGAGATTTCTGAAGGGGAATAAAATGAATTAGAAAATATCAAATAAGAAACTAAAGATTCAGATAATGTTTTATAATCTGATTATATGTTTCTAAAAACTAAATCCACTTTGATTTTAATGATCAAAAATTCTATAATTCCATCATTTCTAAAATCATTAAGATATCTAATATCAATATTGATTGTTGGTTTACTCACCTTAGGATATTTGTAATTTTTTTTTGATCTTAGTTATCAAGATAAAATCTAAAATGGTTTAGATTTATTTTACTTAAGCAATTAAAGATTATCTAAAATTCTAATAGTTTAATCTTATATATAAGAACTAAAACTAATGAATTTAAAATATGATAACTTAATATCAAAGTTTAATTTTGATGAAATTAAAGCAGCTAACATTAAAACTTTAAATGAAATAATAGAATTATAATCAATATTAAGTCAAGCAAATTTTCAATTAGCCCCTTAATATCTCTCTTATTAATAAGAATATGAAAATTCTTAAATTGAAATGACTCAATCAAATTTGGTCATCAATTATACATTTAATGAAGCAATAGAATAAACTTTAGTAAAAGCTATATCCTTATCATAATAAGATCTTTCATCTTACACAGATGATAATGTAGATTTAAATTATTTTGAAATAAATTCTTACAATTCAATTGTATATCATAATTATGTAGCTTAATTTTATTACTACTACTATATGGTTACCATTTTAGAGGATAAATCATAAAATGTCTAAATTATCCTTATTATAGTAACCTTAATTTTATTTATAATGTATATTATATTATATCTAATTTTAGTTATGTAGCATGTTCAGTGTTAATACTGAAAATTAAAAATATCAGAGATAATATACTAGTTTTATTATTATAAGTACATGAGTAATAAATTATAATTTTGAAGAAAAGTTATGAATATTTTTTATAACTTATTTAGAGTAAAGAAGATGAAGAAGTAAAATTTTTATTCATAATATTTAGAATTTAGATTACGAAGAAGAGTTAAGAAAACCAGTCTAATATCAAGATGAAGGAGCTTAAGATTCTTTAAGAACAAATGATAATGATGAGGCATCATTTTTGATAAAAAAAAAAAGAAAAAAGTTTGAGAATAGTCACACTATTTTAAGAAACATTCTAGTTTTCATTATATTCATAATTTCTATTTTCTAAGCTTATTTTATTTTTCTAATAATCGATAATAATGTATAATTTGATTTTTATTAAAGAATCTTGATTCAAGATATAATAAAATTTTACCAGTTGTAAATTTAACTTCAATTATAGAATCATATTTAAGATTTGGTGATAATTCATTTAAATAAAAATATATTGATAAAGATTTTGTAATTAATTTTGGAGAATTTGATACTTCAGAGTATATATAAACTTTAAAAAATATGGTATCAGATATTCACAAATATCATTCTTAAAACTCAGATGTTTTGGATTTAGGATATGTAGGAGTTTTTGAATAAATCTTTATTCTAAATCCTTGTAATTTAATAAAAGACTTTAATTCAGGAGTCTCATAATCTGAATGTGAAAGTTTTAATGATGGTATAATAAACTAAGGATTATCGATGGCAACTATAAAATATATAAAATATTTAGAGCAAGCTCTGACAAATCCAGTTTATTTTACAAATGTTAGAAAGACTTAATTAACTTATTTTAAAGACTCTTTCTAATATTTAGGTGAAAAGTTAGTAGAATCAATATCAAATGATTTTTCAGTAAATCAATTAACTAAAGTATCATTATTTACTGTGTTTAATTTATTAATGTTATTTGTGTATTTTTTTATATGGATACCTTTGGTGAGGAATCTGATCCAATCAATAATAAAAACTAGATTATTATTTTCATTAATTCCAAATAATGATTTGCTTAAGTAAAGAATTTAAAATATGAAATATAGAATAAAAGCTATCATCTAATATCTATTATAAATAAGAAATCCTGTGTGAATAGGTAAATGACTTGACTTTGATATAAAAACTAATATCTTATACTAATTAATATTAAATTGAGTTAAAATAAAATAAAATGAATAAATTGATCAGGTAATATTGATTTTACTCAATTCCATGATTGAATTTCTTCTGCTTTTGAATTCTGAATATTTTTCTTAAATTTCTTAATCCCTTTGACTATCTAACTTAAGTTCTTTCATTCTCTTTTATTATAGGGCCTCTATTTATTCATCAAAGATAAAGCAAATAGAATTAGCGGCAGCAGTAAATTGACCTTCAGCTGGAGCAATATAACTATAAGAATATAGAAAAAGAGCCTTACTCATATTTATTAATTACATTATTTTTAGGATCTTTTAACTCTCCAGAAAATAAGAAACCTCCATTAGTAAATTCTTATTAACTTAAAGTAGTTAATTTAATTAATCTACATTTATTTCTAACAAACTCATTCATTCTTTTTAATTCCATTTATGCAAGTGGTCCAACTTAATTTTCATACCATTTTCTAATATATTCTAAACATATATATATATATTGAATACCAAGTGAATGTAAATAAACTTTGAATTCAAATTCTGAATTTTTGATCATGATATCTTTAATAACTTTTGTAGGTAATGCATAAAGAAGTGAATCAACAACAGCTTTAGCAGAACTCATATGAACACCTTCAACAATTAGACTTTAATGTGTAATTAAGGATCCTAATCCTTTAGTAATAAGTATTCCATTATGTTCATTAACAACATAGCCTCTCATAACAATGTATAATTCATTGCATGGATCTCCTTTAGAATATATAATTTATCCAATTGAATATTTCTTTTCAACTGCTACCTTTTTAATAAGATCTAAATCACTTAAAGATATATCTTAAAAGATTGGAAATTACATAGCAATAACATGAAAAGATGGTAATTCCATTTCATAAGTATGGCTTTCTAATTTAACAAGTTTATTGTTAATATCTTTCAATAGGATTTTGTATTCTTTATCATCAATCAAACCTTTACGTTAAGTTGATTAAAGATGTTCAATAGAATGAGTTAGAATAGAGAAAGAAGCCTTTTTTGTTTATAGAATTCTTACTATTTCAGGGAAATTACCATTTAAAGTACCAAAGTAAGCATGAGCTTTTTCAATATCTTTTTTTAATTCTTCTTAAATAACTTAAATTGCTTCTTTGTTCATTGGAAAGTTTTCTGAAAGTTTAATAGCTTCATCAGCACAAATGATAAAAGTAGATGTGACATCATAAACAATACCTAAATGTCTAATTAAATATTCTTTTGCAAAATATCCAATAAGAAATGATTATTTCATTTTAAAAAAGAAATTGACACTACATGGATTCATGAAATTTTTATATAATTCATCCCATATTTCTAAATTTAAATTTAATTTATCTAATCCAACATCACTTGATTCTACTAACATTCTTACAGTTTATTCTTCACAAAGACCTTCTTCAAATTTATGATAATATAATCCTTTAAGAATTCTATAAAATCTATATCTAACTTCCCCTAAAACATCTTAATTGGGTAAACCATCAAAGATCATTTCTTAAAATCCATTTTCTTATACTTTTTTTTTAATTTCATTTTCGACTTATTCAATTTTATTAATAAAATCTTATTATCCAACAAGATTACTAACAGTCATCCAATCAGTTACATTATAAAATTCATCAGTTTCTAATTCTTTAATTAAATCATGTTAAACAACAATCAATTCTTCTAAATATTTTTTATAGACTTTCTTTTTTACAACAGGTTCATCAATCATTTTAACACATTTAACTAAAGCTTTACAAGTAGTTCCATTAACCATATTAGTAATTAAAGCCATAGCTGCAGCATAAAAAACAGATAAATGTCTAAATCTTGCAGGTAGATCTTAATCACATCCAACCATTAATGATAATGTTAAACCTAATCCACCTCTTAATCCACCATAAACTAAAACTATTAATTCAGACTTAGATATTGGATAACCGAAACCTTAAATAAATTAATATTTTTATATTACATTTTAATAATGGATAAAAGGTTAACACCATTATAAATCGAGCCAAAATCATTAAGAAATAGAACCCAATCATTTTAAAATAATCAGTACTTACTATTAATTCTTCTTCCATTATTTATATTCCAACTATAATACCAACCAATAAGAAAACCAATGTATCACAACTATATTATACAAATCCCCAAACTGCATGAACTGAATGTTCTACTGATGCTCTTATTCTTGTCTTTGCATATGCACACCAAAACAATCCTAATCCAACTACTGCTAAAAGTCCACTTGTCTTAAAAAATTCAAATTCTGCCCAATAAAATGTAAAATATGTAAATACAAAAGTTAGCCAAGTTACTTCTATATCATCACCTAATATTCTTCTAGTCCATAGAGCAACTAATAATCCTAATATTACACCCATTATAGGTCCTAAGAATGATGTTCTTAAGAAAGTTAACACTATTTCACCTCCCCCAACTGCTGCTCCTTTTCCACTAGATGCTTTTGAAACATTATTAAAAACATTAAAAAAGACCATTGCAACTCCATCATTAAGCAAAGCTTCTCTATTTTATAATATATTATCTTTACCCTTCAATCAAATGATTAAAAGCAGGGTTTGCTCCTAACTCCTTCAATAGTGATACTACTGCCACTGGATCCGTTGCCGATAAAACTGACCCCAATGTAAAGGCTTCATACCAATTCATGTCATTATCCCCATATTATAGTACTACCTTAAAGCAAATACCAAGTAATATCGCACCCTTATAATAATTATATATAAATACCCATCCACATCCTGGTCCTGCCAAAAGCAAAATATTTATTAATTAGTACTTAAATGTGTACCAATCACAGTTAAATGCAGACTCAAACAAAAGAACTGGAATGAAAATGAACACAATCAAATGTGGATGCATTTTAGATAAAATGTAAGCACTATCTCCTATATAACCAAGATAATCTTATGTAAGACCAATTACAAGACCAAGGGCAAGAATCATAGGAGAATAAGGGATACTAATTTAATTCATAAACCTATTTACCTTGTCTTTTTACTGAATTCTCTAAGAATTAGACCTAAAATCAATCCCAAAACTAAAAAATGGATGATTTAAGCAGATTCATGCATCTAGTGCTCATCCCTCCACAAAGAATCCTTTTAATTAGATTCGAAATTTTCATAACCTTCATTTTCACTACCTAATTGATCTGATGCCATTTAATTAAATATACAAAATACGATGGGGATTTATTTTGTTTTATATTATTCATCAATACAAGATATATTCCAATTTTAATTATGTATTTTTTATTTATTCATAATTCTTCTTATTAATATTATTTCTATTGAATATCTATCCTTGAAAATCTTTATTCTATTATTTCTTCCTGATTTTCTAAATTGAATTACTCCAATCTATCTTACTTTATCACATCAATAGGATCATCAAATACCAGACAAATAAGAGCTTTTGTGACTGTAAAATCATTCTCTCGAGGTGGAACATAACTATTGGAGAATTAAATTATTACCAATAATCATTGTAACGTTCAATACCTTCATTTTCATCTTGTATGCAACTTTATATTTCGCCTCTTATTATATATCCACCAAACATAAACTCCACATTAGAATGAACATCAAACTTTTAAAATTTAGTCTTTTGTCTCAGAAATGTTCCTAAACGTTTTTATTCCATCTAACCTAGAGGACCAGCTTATGATTCATATAATTTAATCAAATATTCTAAAAGTATATAAATAATATAGAACCTATAGAATTTATATATATTTTCTATTCAAAAGTATTTGATTTCTACATCAATGACTTGAGAACATTTAAATTTAATGAATGTAATACAGTTTCAGATGCAGCCCTAGAAGTAGTCATACATTTTCCATCTCCAATAAGATTAGCATATGAGAGTAAAGATCCGAGTCCTTTCTTTAAGGAATGAGATCCAACTTCATCAATAACATTACCTTATTAAACAATGTATATATTTTGACAGGTCATACCTTTTTCATAGATAATTTCATCTGTTTAATATCTTTTTTCATATGTTGATTTAATGATGGTTTCTAATTCTTCTTTAGGGACACCTGCAAATATAGGGAATTCCATAGCAAAAGAATGGAAAGATGGAATTTACCAATCAAAAACATGATTTTCAAGTTAGACAAGTCGTGCATCAATATTACTTTTAAGTTAATTAAATTCTTTATCATCAACAAATCCATTTTTTTAATTTTCTTCTAGATGATGTCTTTAATGCATAAGTACAGTATGTGAAGCTCTTTTAGTTTGAATAGCTCTAATAATTTCAGGGAATGTATCATTCAAACTACCTAAATAGAGTTCAGCTTTATTGATTTCAGTTTTAATTTCATCCATAATTAATTTAACTGCACTTTTATTGACAGGCATATGTTATTATAAAGTAATTACTTCATTGGCGGAAGATATAAATGTAGTTGTAACATCATAAACAAATCCTAAATGTTTAGTAATATATTATTAAGCATATCCCCCTAGGAATGTCCATTCTTTAGCTCTAAAGAAGTATTTAATACTACTAAAACTAGTAAAACTTTAGAATAATTATTCCCAAATATTAAGGATTGATCCAGTATGATCAAGTGCAACATCACTAGATTCTACAAGTAATCTAACAGAATCTTCATCACATTATCCATGTTCAAATTTAGAGTAATAGATTCCTTTAAGAATTCTGAGTACTCTATATCTAACTTCTCCAAAAGTTTCTGTATCAGTAACTCCTTCATAAGAAATTCTACTCATATTTCCACCTTATATTAATTTAATTTCATTTTCTAATGAAACTACTTCTTATAAAAACTATTATGATCCAATAAGTGATTTAACTTAATTCCAATCAGCCATAGCAAAATGTTCATCTCCTTCTAATTCTTTTATTGTGTCTTCTTAATTAACAATCATATCAGTTAGATAACGTTTATAAACTTTCTTTTTAATCACTGGATTTTCAATCATATTTAAATAATTCACTAAAGCTTTACAAGTTGTTCCATTAACAAGATTCGTAAGAGCAGCCATTCCAGCAGTAAAAAATACAGCTAAATGTCTAAATCTTTATGGTAGATCTTCATCACATCCAACCATCAATGAAAGTGTTAAACCTAATGCACCTCTTAACCCTCCATAAACAAATACTATTAATTCTGGTTATGACATTGGATAACCATATTTCTTTAATAATGGCCAAAATGATATAACCATTAAGTATCTACATATTATCATAAAGAAATAAAACAAAATCATTCTAAAATAATCTGATGTGTAAATATAATTCTCTTCTATCACTTCTGTACCTACTATCATACCTACTAATAAAAACACTGTTGTATCACAAAAATATTGAACAAAACTCCAAACTGTATGTACAGCATGTTCACTTTCTGATCTTATTCTAGTTTTTCCAAATGCACTCCAAAATAAACCCAAAGCTACTACAGCTAATAATCCACTTGTTTTGAAGAAACAAAATTCAGCCCAATAAAATGTAAGATATGTAAATATAAATGTTAACCATCCTACTTCAACATCATCTCCTACAATTTTTCTAGCCCATAAAGCTCCAAAAAATCCTACAACAACTCCTAACAATGGACCTACTATTGAATTCCTAAAGAAATTTAATAAAACTCCTCCAAAAGTTACTCCTCCTCCAATTCCTGCTGCAGCTTTAGAGAGTTTATTAAAAAATATAAAGAACACCATTGCAACTCCATCATTTAATAAAGCTTCTCCTTCAATCAAATGATTAAATGCAGCACTTGCTCCTAATTCTTTTAATAATGCAACAACAGCCACAGGATCTGTTGCAGATAATACAGATCCTAAAGTAAATGCTTAATACCAATTCATATCTTCATCACCATAAAATAGGAACAATTTAAATACAATTCCTAAAAGAATTGCTCCCTAATAGATATACATTATATTATACCCAGCCAACTCCAGGTCCAGCTAAAAGTAGGATATTTACAATCTGATATTTGAAGATATACCAATCACAATTAAATGCTGATTCAAATAAAAGAACAGGAACAAAGACATAAACTATTAAATGTGGATGCATATGACTCAAGATGTTTGCACTTGTTCCCAAATATCCAAGATAACTTTATAGTAAACCTATTAACAATCCACAAGTTAAGACCATAGGGGAATAGGGTAATCTACCTAAAATTGTTGAAATATTACTTGGTTTTCTTATTCAATTCTCTTAAAGCAAGGCCCAATAAGATGCCTAAAGTAAGTAAATATGCCACATTTGCTGATTCTTCCATTTTCTCTTCATCTCGATATAATGAATCTTAGATTTAGGAATGATTTTCAGTTTCATTGGTTTGATCTTCATGACCCATAATAATTTAATTAAATTTATTATTTGTTTAAAAATTGTTTTATAAATGTATAATCACTTAAATTATATTCAATTAATTTATAATAACTTTTTGATCTCTTCAGCTGATAGTGTTTCTTTCTTTACTAATTCTGTAGCTAAATCCTTGAGTTTGGATTCATTAAGTTTCAATAGATTTTTTACTCTATTATACGATTCCTAATGAAAAATTAGTAAATAAAATTACTTCTAATATTTTCTTAACTTCCATATCAACCATGTAATCAAATTAATCACTAGTTTTGACTCTATCACTTTAAATAGAAATCAAGGATATTTTATCATCCATTCCTAATTATTTGACAAACATATAAGCTAAATCAGTGGCTTTAGCCAAATCATTACTACATCCACTAGTGATATCATCTTTACCCAAAAATAAATCTTCAGCTGCTCTACCTCCCATAGCTACATCAATTGATGCTATTATTCCCTTTCTAGTATAATTAAGTTAATCTTTTTCTGGAAGCATTGCTGTCTAATTAAATGATTAAATATGTATATAAATACAAATCCTAATGCTCCTCCTCTTGGTAGAATGGTAACTTTATGAAGTGGCATTGCTCCTTCAGTTAATAAACTAGTTAATGCATGTCCACCTTCATGATAAGCAGTCATTAATTTCTCTTTATCACTAACATGCATATTCTTTCTACCTACTCCCATAGCAATTCTATCTATTGCAAATTCAAAATCTTCTGTTGTTGCAACTTACCTATCATATTTGATTGCATTTAATATTGCTACATTAACCATATTTTAAATATCAGCTCCACTAAATCCACTTGTTTGTCTTGCCAAATTTTATGGTAATACCTTTACAATATCATATTTTATTTTTTGTAAATAGTATTAAAATATTTATTCCCTACCTTTTACATCAGGTAAAGGCACATGAATCATTTTATCAAATCTTCCTGGTCTTTTTAAAGCTGGATCTAATACCTATAATCCATAATTATATCATATACTTATTCAAAATTTGTTGCTCCTATCACTATAACACTTTCACTTTATTTAAATCCATCCATCTCTGTCAATATTTAATTTATTGTATCTCTAGAATAACCTGGATCTTATGCTCTTCTCCTACCTCCTATACTATCTATTTCATCTATAAATATTATTGATGGAGCCTTCTATCTTGCTGCTTTAAATATATCTCTAACACGTGAAGCTCCTACTCCTACAAACATTTCATCAAATTCTGATCCTGATTTATAAAAAAATGCACATCCTGCTTCTCCAGCTAATGCTCTTGCTAAAAGTGTTTTACCTGTTCCTGGTGGACCTACTAATAGAATTCCTTTTGGCAACTTTGCACCAGAATCTGTGTATTTCTTAGGGTTTTTCAAAAATTCTACAATTTCTTCTAATTCTTCTTTAAATTCATCTATTCCTAATACATCATTAAAACGTGTAGGAATATTCCTTTCCTCTTAAACTGTTTAATTATTTCGTAGTATATTGTAAAATCGATCTATTCTACCAGCTCCTTATTCAGGAGCATCTTTTTGATTTTTTTCATTTTTAGATTTTGACTGACCAGGTTAAAAAAAATACATCATCTGATAAAGAATTGCTGCTGTTATTAATAATTAAATCATTCCTGGAAGTATCATTGATCTACGTTTATCTGCATATTAATTTGACTTTAAATTTGTTACTGCAATCCCATATTATTCTTATAATTATTGATGTTGTTTTTGAGTAGCATTTTCACGAAAGTCATCTACTCTTTAAATATTACTTCATACCTGTTTATTTAAATATTTTAAGTGCATCATCATACATTTACATTCGATTTAATTGTCTTATATACTTAAATGCCTTATCAGGATTTTAAGGATCTGAAGCAAATTCTTTTTACAACAGACGCAAATTTTAAATATTTTATTGATTCACCAAGAACATTGCATCAGGCTAGATAAAGGGTTGGAAGTCAAACTTATGATCTGGAATATTGACAGCTTTCTTAATTAAATCATCCTTATTTAAACTAAATGGGCTCTGTAAAAATTTAAAAGTAGGCTCTAATATAGAAACATTACTAGCTTACTTCTGAAACTGAATAGCGATTTATATACAAATCCCCATAAAAACTAAATAAGACTTATAATAAATACCGGTCCTTTCATTGCAATAAAAAGCACAAATAAATAATTATTAATGTATATTTCAACAATTGAATCTTAACCTTTATCTATTCAACTAATCCAAGCTTCTTTTTTCCAAGAAAGTGTCTAAAACTTAAACATCAATTATTGCTTTTTAAATATTTAATTCTACTAAGATTTCAATTTTGCAATTATGAATACTTATAATTTTTCTCCATTTTTAACTTTTTGTTCATAAATTATGTATTTAATATCATAAATCAAATAATCAATAAACAATAAGCATTTTTATTTGAGTAATCAATGACATCGCTTAAACTAAAATTAACGTCATCTCTATATCAAGTAATTGCAATACTGGTAAAAGTAATGGGAGAATAGTTTATCTTTAAAAATCAACATCTGAACTCTCTTCTAAGAGTTCCCAATCAGTCTTTTTAGGTAATTCAGCTTATTCTTCTGGTATTCCTTTTTCTCTCCTTTCGATTTCTTCATTTCTATTCTTTTCACAAATATTTATTTATTTAATAAAATAATCTGGATCTTTAATAACATCCCAGATATCTATATGTACTAAATACTTGCTTAAGCATTTCTTTCTATTTATAGGTTCTAATGTTACATAACCAATAACCTAAACCAAATTATTATCATTTCTAAATAGATTTATAAATTTACTCTTATAAATTGTTTATCTAATTTTTAATTTAAAATGAATTTATTTTACCAATAGATTGATCAATAAAATCAAAAAAGATATGTAAAGTATCTGCATCCTATGAATCAATATACTATTATTTGGCATTACTTTCATTTGATTTTATTCTAATTCATAAGAATTATAATCATCTACATAATAAAGTGCGCAACTTTCTTTTAAAGATTCTGAAATCTTTAGTAACATTTATTCAATATTATTAATTTAAACTAATTCTTCTTCTAATTCTTTTCATATCCATCCTCTAATTATTATTTATCTGTTCTTCTCAAACTTCCTGTAACTAATTCTTTCTATTGTCTATATAATAATGCACATTATTTTTTCTTATATAATATAACTTTTAGTTCCCTTAGAACCATCAAATTTAACAATAGGAGTGTTATTTCTACCCCTAAATTGTTAAATTGTCTTAGAATATTTTTTGGATCTTATCCAAAAGGACGAAAGATTATAGCAAATTCTCTTTTTTATTTCTTCAGATTGATAATAGTGTTATAAAATGTAGATAATAATTAGTATTTATTATCTGAAAATAAATTATTAAGCATATACTTATCGTTTAATAATTAATTTAAATTTCTCTATTCCACATCTTCCTCATTCATTTAACCAAGATTAACATAAAAGATTTTACAATAAATTTAATAATCTTGTCGTATTCTGGCTTCAATTTCATGCACGGTTAACCCAATTTTACAAATTAAAAATATAATTATTTACGTTGTTCTCTATATACCAATAAATAAATTAATATATTGCACTAGTTTTATTTTTTTTAATATCTTCAGAATCACCTTCAGATTTTTAATGGATATTATTGACAAATGTATTCTTTATATGATATCCTTTCTTCTGCAGGTCTTACTGGAGTAAAGTTATTTGTTAATAATTACCAAAGAATAGGGGATTTCTCGTCTCTCTATTCTAGTTTACCCTATGCATATGCTACCAGAATTTCTTATAACTTTTTATTAATTTAGATGATTTACACACTCTTTCTTAATTTAATTTGGATATTAAGAATCAGCTAAAACAATAGTTTTATTCAAATCAAAATGAAGTAATAATTTTTTTTACTGTTTCATTAAATATTATAATATAAAATATATCACTTAAGTGTTTGAAATACAGACATTTTCTCTAATTTTTTTTTGAAAGAAAACTAATCCAAAACACTTTTCTTTTATTTATTTAATAAACCTTTCTTTTAATTTAATCTATTTTCTTCTTCTTCATACTATGCAATTAAACCAAGATAATATTATGTACTGTTTTATAATTCCTAAAAAATTATGATTTAATTATTTTACATCTTTAAATTCTTATCCAGAATTTCTTTTTCTTTATAGATCAATCATATATAAACAAGTTTTATATTTCTACTTTCTTTTATCATAAATTAATTTAACTTCAGATGCTACGGTTGGAAATTCCTTTAATAAATTTCTAAAATTTTCATATGAACAAAAGAATCTAAATGTAAGTAAAATGTTACAAATTAGTTGGTTCTTTAGCTACAGCAAAATATTCTCTGTTAATATCTTCAAAAGCTTCAATCTCACCAAAAAATGATGCTTCTAACAATGTTATCAAAGTATATTTATCATAAGTAATAAAATTTACTTTCCCTTTCTCTATAAAGTATATATCTGTTGGTGGATCATCTTATCTATAAATTATTTCTCCTGGATGTGCTTCAAGAAAATTTAGATGAGGTAAAATTGTAGCAGTAAAATTATTATCTATCTTCAATAAATTAACACTATCAATCAAATATTTATAACAAATCATCAATAATTCATTTCTTAATTAAGATGGCAATTCTTAAATTAATTTTTTTGGATCTAATGATGCATAAACATTTTTTAAATAATTATTTCTATAATATTTATGAACTTTGCATTTTAACGCATAAGGTAATTTAACTCTAATAGAAAAATCATTAAATAAATGCATTCTTCTTTCAAAATCAGCCCATTTTTTATCAACATTTTCCAAAATTGATGACAATTTACCTAATGTATATGAAAAGAATCCAGTTCCAAATATCATCCAAAATATAGCAAAAATCCTTTCTTCTATTGTTGTTGCTTTTATATCTCCATAACCTACTGTTGTTAATGTTTATAGACTCCATTCAAAAGAAGCTATATATTAATTATAAAGGGAAGTATTCTCCAAATTTGATTAAGCAATCCATGTATCAGCTTCAAAATTATTAAATTTTGCTATAAAATACCAAAAACAAGCAATTAAGTGATTTATTAATAAGATCTTACCTAACAATATCAAACCTTTTATTATGCCCTCATTAATTCCTAAATAAGATAGAATTCTAGCTGCTTGAGTTTTATTTTTCACATTAAGATTTGCTTTTGACATTTTAATCAATCTTACTAATCTATATAATCTGGGTAATCGTATTAATCTTAATAATTTATTATATCTTAATGCTGAAGTATTTGTAGTGTCATCTAAAAAATAAGTGATTGGTAAAACTGCAATAAGATCTATTATAAACCAACCTGTTAAATATGATTTTGCTATCATACTATAATCATCAATAATTCTTTATTCTTCATCATAAAATGCACTTAAAAAATTGATCACTATATCTGCAAAAAATAATATATCAAATATTACATCAATCCAAAACCAAAATCCTTCATTACCTTAATCAATCTATATTTAATATGATATTTTTACAAAGCAAACTTTAAATGGTGTAATTATAGCTGTTGCTAGCAATAAAAATATTAATAGCAGATTCCAAAAGGTTTTTAATTACTCATCTGGATAAAAAACATAAGTTCTTTTCTCCCCTTGATTTGATTTAAATACTTCGTCTTCTATTAAATCCATATGATCATCTTATCTTATGGCCCCAAAAATTTTTACTCTATTTTAAAAGGATTTCATTATTCCAATAAAATAGGCTGCTAAAAATACTCTCCTCCATATAGCAACTAATTTTTATCGTTTTTCAGAATTCAATTTTCTATAAAAATGAAAAGTTGAATAAGAATCAATCATTCTGAAGAAAACATTAAATACTGTGATTTATTGATCCATCTATTTTTAAATATAATGTATTTTAACACATAAATTAGTCAATAAATTTTAATGAATATATGTATATTAGCTCTTATTCAAATTACAGTAATTCTCTATTCTATGAAATCAAAAGACATTATGATTTATTTTGATTAGCTAATGATTAAAATCCCATTATAAAATTTACAATTAAAATATATAATTGAGTGATTTTAGAACAAAAATTATATAATAATCATTCTAAAATATATTACATTAATTAATAGGTAGAAAAATTAGAAATATTAATCCATAATAATAATAACTATAAATTAATGCAGAATGGATGGTTGCTCATTTATAATTTATCTAATTAATTTATTTATTTAATAAATAGATAACCTTGAAATCTATTCAAATAATATTATTCGAAATAAAATACTTATAAATGTATAATTTATCAACAAATTTTAATAATCAAAATAAGATATATAAAAAATAAATTTGCAAAAAATATTTATACTCTAAAAACAATTTTTATTTCAAATTCAAAATGAAGAAAACTAAAACTAAAATTAAAATTTGTAAAATTTTGATTTTAATATATATTTATGAGATACATCATTCAATTAAATTGTAGCAAGAATATTTTTATTAATTATAATAAATATTTTATAAATGGGAGCTAACAGCTCAAAATAAAATTTCGAATTATTAAATGAATACAATTTTCTCAATGTTGCTCAAGATGATGGATATGGAGAAATTCAATTATATAGTAATAAAATAAAACAAACTGATAAAATGGCAGTAATAAAATTTTATGATCAATCAGATATGGAAAAGAAATCTAACATAATTTAGATGAGGTAAATAATTATTTTATTTAGAAAATAATAAAACAATCAATATTTTACAAAAATATTAGATTATTAGATTCAAACAACTGAGGATTTATGTAGCAATATAAATTTTTTACATGTTGGATTAGAATTTTTAGAAAAAAGTCTTCAAGATGATATTTTAAATCGAAGAGCTGATGATAAAACGTATTAAATAATAATATAATCATCATAGTTATAATGAAGGGGAACTTTGGTATTTAACATAAACAATACTTTCTGGATTGAAAGATCTTTAGATGAATAATCTTTAATATTAAGATTTACATCCAAACAATATCAGAATCAAATTAAATGGTGAAGTTAAACTATTAGAATTGTGTTGCTTAGCTAATTAATAAAGTGCTTATTAAAAAGTCTTTACATAAATTAGGGAGGTGGAATATCTTTCCCCTGAATAATTATACGTATTAGAAAATGAGCGTTAAAATGTAAATATTATTCTCTAGAATATAAGGATAAATAAGAATATTCAATAGAAAAATAAAACATATTTATACTTGGTGTTATTTTTTTGGTTTGCATAACGAATATGGATGTAAAAAGATTTTATACTAATTTTACTTTTAATTAAGAATTAGCTAATTAAAAATTGAATAGTGCTTTTGAAAAGTACAATTATTCTGATCCAATGAAACATTTATTAAAAGATTTATTACAATTTAACACATATCATAGACCCACATATTTAGAAATCTTAGAAAAGATTTCTCATGTAGATTCTAGTAGAATATCTCCAAATCTATATGCATTGAACCTGTAAGATTAAGCTATTAAATCAACTATGCATTTAAAGAGTCAATCTAATTTCACATAAGAATAAATTATTGAAAGTTAACCTTAATCTCTTTATGAACAACATAATCTTATAAATGATTCTTTTAATAGATAAATTACGTCTAATTTTTAAACTAATTTAGATTCTGTACCTGTAGTTGATACAACTAAATTAAATAATAATGATTTTGAAATTATTCCTTAATCAAAATATGAATTAAATAATTAACCAACTCCTCTAACTACCTAAGCAGGTTTGGATAAAATAAGATAATTAAAAGAAAAATTTTAAGTAATGAAAGGAGAAGTTTAATAGAAATAAGCAGCAACAGTTCCAACTACATATACTCATTAAGATGAAAGTGATACATATAGACTTGCAAATTAAAATGCTGTTCAAAATCCATACTAACCAAATTTCTTGGATATGGATCCTATTATCTAAAGAGCACTTCAAAAAAGTAGAGAAGTCATGTCAAAATGCAATCCTTATTAAAATACAGATCCTTATGTTCCTATTTTACCATCTTCAAATGCCTCTTATCTTCCTTAAACAGGAAGGCAATCCATTATTTAACCAACATAAAATGTATCATTAGGAAATTCTTAACTAAATTAATATTTTCAAACTTCGTAATAAAATTCCTAATTTTAATAATATAATCAAATAAATTAAGTTTAAATTCCAATACAGCCATTATAACAATCATAATTTTAGAAATAACCAACTTTTTCCTAACCATTCTCTCCATACATTTAGTAAAATGAATAAACATCACCTTTAAAATAACCAGCCATGTCTTAATTTATTTAATAATAATAAACATTTACCCCTCCATCATTTAACTAATAATAATCAATGTAAAATATATATTAAATTAGGTATTAACCTTATGTTAGAAATGATAGATTTTCATGATTAGGATTATGCTGAATAAATCGATTATTTTTTAGAATATATAAATTTTTATTATATTATTTTTTTTGAAATAATCATAGATGATCAATAGTTTCTAATTAGGGTCTTGTATTTCTGGAGAATGTTGAAATTATTCCCTTTTCTAAGACTATTTACGGCTGTTTTATTTTCTTGTTATTATGCTTTTTCTTCCACATATTCACTAAAATTATAGTCTTTATTTTTAAGACTCTTATCTACTTCATTAGATTCACTAGTATTGACCTCTGAACTCCTTTCAACCATACAAAATAAAGTTTTTGTATTTCTTGAAAATTCCTTCATTGCCAATTCTATATCATCCAATATACATTCCTTTGAAATTATTGAGAATCCATTATTTTATTAGATCTAAAGAAACTTTTAGAATTAACAATCGAATTTTGCAGGCTCTTAAATTATATTATGAATTACATTAAACTTAAACTTTCTCATAAGTAACAGCTGCTGGCTAAATTTCTTCTTTAATTGATGTTATATCTTGCAAATTATCTTTTTTTATCCTAGAAAGTATATCATTTTAGTGACTTAAATACCTTCTATGATCTTTTATAATTTTAAATAAATACTTACATCTCCTATTTTAGATGGTTGCCACACCTTAATTTTACTAAACATTTTATGTTGTTGATTCTGAAGAATTAGATGCTGGTTCTGTAACAATTGGTTATTGCGTAGCTTTTTTTTCGGTTTTAGGTTAGAATTTCAGTTTTTCAATAAATTCTAAAATATTTTAGGGTGTTTTTGACTTATCCTCAAGTAATTTAGTAAAATTTTTGAAATGGCTTTGTACAATAAGTAAAGGATCAATTATTAAAGGAAGCATATGTTTTAAAAAGTCAACAAAGGCTGTCCTTAAAAGCATTTATTCAGACATAAATAAAATTAATTACTTAATAAATCTCTTTTATTACTAAACTTTAATTATTAATGAAGAAATTAATATGAAATCAGTAATATTAGTATTTTATGAAAATCATCCTTCAAGAGTAATTCAAGTTTCTTTTTACAATAATAAATACAGTATTCTAAATACGTGAGAATTAAAACTCAACTATTATTAGATCATGTATTTCAACTAAAAATTTGATATTTTAAAGTAAATCGAATTATGTGAGTTTAAAATTTATTCTTATCATTGTTTAAATATAAAATTAAATTAGATTTAATTATTTTGTAATTTTAGTTAATGATACTTCTATAAAAATTATATAATACTATTTTTATTAAGAATCTAATTTTATTGAAATAAATATTAACCAATAAATTAAAGCATGTAAGCACTTAGAAAATAATTTTAATCCAAATAGAGAACAAATAAATTAAATTTTATTTTGAGATATCTTGCTAAAGCAAAACAAAACTGTAAAAAAAATAAAATTAAGTGTTTATTTTTTTTTTTAATTATTTCTTATAAAATAAAAAAGAAATTTAAATATAGAATAAGTAAAATATGTATAGATCATTTTATTTAATATCTTTACAGAAACAGTTTATTTGAAATTTTTTAACAGCAAATCTTCTTAATGATAGATCTTCACAAATAATTTTAAGAAAAATAGTTAACACTATCTAAAACAGGTCCAAGATCCATACTAAATTTTTTGATTGTAATCGATCACAAAAATTTCAGCCTTATACGAAAAATTGTATCATTTTTAAAATTAGAAACAACAAATCCTCTATTTAAGCAAGAATTTTTATATTAAAATCTACATCATCTCTAATACATTTCTACAGATTTTACTGCAGTTATTATACTAGAAGGAGCAATTATATAATTATTATTGTTAATGCTTCTAAAAGAGTTGGCGATTATGTTGTTAAACTAAATTTTTTAAATCTTAAACTCTTTTTATGAATATCCACATGTAAAATGATATGTTTAAAAATTGTATTAAAAAAATGATATTATATATATTTTACTTATTTTTCTTTTATCATTTTTAATTTATAAAAAAATAGTTAAAAACAAAAAATAAATACTTAAAAATCACTTTTAAAGTATTTTAATTATATGTATTTCTCCATATCAATTTAAACTGAAATAAGAATTAATTTAAAAGAAAATGATTATTTTAATTGAAATATTCATACTTTGTATCTATGTTAACAAGCAAAACATTCATAGAAGATAGTTGCTGGTTCATCTGCTCTTCTAATTTATCTAGTTTCAATAACATATAAATAATTATTATGACATCTTGGACATTCTTATCCTTTAGATTGAGTCATTTCATTT